ACCTACCCATTCAAAACGGACAACACGTTTATTTTACACACACACACACACACACACACACACACACACACACACACACACACATGGTGGGGTGTATGCGTATGTGTCTGTGTTTATTATTTATTTTTCAAATAAGCCAAATAACGGACCATGAAAAACCCTATCAGCAGCGCACATAATATTTGAGGTCGAGTATATTGTCAGCGTTGCTATGGTCACAAGGAATGTAAATAAACGATCGAAAACTATAAATACACGTTTTTAACGGCACAGACTCATGTGTGTACAATCGATAAAACAAAACTCGTCATTTGAACATTAACTGCATACAATAATAACTTTTGATACATTTTAAATTTTATTTGCCCAGGCATGACTATGTGAATGTTTTCATGCTTCTGTAACCTTTAGGATATTTGTTTGCAATATTTACCTGGATTCCTGCTTGCTACTCGAAAATGTGAATATGCGAAACGACATAAGACGACCGTTCATTGCAGGATGTTTTGTAATTTTTTGCACTGAACCACTCTCTCCACTCCATGCTAGCTTTCAATCGAAATCTGTCATGTGCGTTTATTTATTTGAGCTTTTCAACTACCAAAACATTACGTCGTCGTATGATTTTGTCTGCTCACTCACAAGCGTGAATAATTACGCGCGCACACGTGCATATCATTTTACATAATTTTCCGTTCGTTTTCTTCATTTTATTACGTGTTTATTTGCTTGATGTATAGTGTAACAGATTCTCGTCTGTCGAACTCGGATTTTAAAAAATTTATACAGATAAGCATACATTTTGAGTATATATGTATACGTATGTATATATACATACATATTACATATATATAAATAGATAAATCTATTATTTATTAAGTATACATGTATAGATAAGTTTATCAGCTCCGCTCGCGCATTATGAACTCATCCATCTATTTAAATATTTTTTGACTCTAGTATATTTTTCTTTTTAACAACCAAATTAAAAATTACACAACATAGGAATAAGGAACTTAAACGGACGCATACACACACAACACACTCACACACACACACACACACACACACATATATATATATATATATATATATATATGTATATATATACATACACACATACATATACATACACACAAAAATTTATATGTATAATGATAATGTGGTTGCAATGAAGCCCTTTGTTGCAACTGTCATTTAGACATTTAAACTAGACATGAGCGTACTGTAGTTGTTCCTATATTAAGCAAATGCAAACGATTGATTATATTAATTATAAAACAATAATTAATTGGTTAATTAATAATTTTTTTGTACTGTACTTTGTTAATAAATTATACGGAATTTTTGAGTGTAATTAATTATTAAGTTGCTCAACTATTTTTCAATTTGTATGTTTTTTAATTTATCACAACAACTGGTAAATTTGGTATTTAAATATTTTCAATTAAAACCTGTTCATCATGTTAGCTTTGTAAACTGCATGGAATCTTTCTAAAATGGTTGGTTAAAAAAATTTTAAAGCGAAATTTGAACGAAAAAATTTCTTTTTTTTTAAATTTCATTTGGATATAAACAACTTAAACAACATAACTGCAATGTTTATGTAGAGGATAGCCTTTGGTTATTTGTGTTAAAGGATTGGCGAGCATAATGAGATGCATCGAAAGTTTTAATGTGATTTTTAAATGTTGTATATGCATGATAATAGCAACTATAAAAACTTTCCTTGTTCAATAAATGATAAATGACCATTTCTTGTTCCAACTGTTTGTTCATTATAGCTGTTGGCTATTGTCATGCTTAACTGTTTACTGGGTTCATCTAATAAATAAGATTAATTTCTTCGTTTAAAAGACAGATATTTTAATATTGACAACCTTGTACAAATTGTATTTAAGTTCAATTGAATGAGCTAAATGATTGTTTTTATCGAACAATACAATACTTCGTAATGAAAAATTGAGCGCATTACAATAATTCTTAAACTTATTTTTCATCAGCTTCCATACTTATATTTGCGATTTTAATTTTTATAATGCATATTTACATTTCAGACTTCTGGTACAAACTCGTGAGTGAAACGATTTCATAATTTTTTCAAGATTTTAAAGTCATATTTACTTTGATATGTATGTAAATTATTTGCAAAACATTGCAGTTCCAGTTGTGCTGTTGGTGCTCTCAAACCTTGCAGCAGCAGTGGTGGATCATCCGGCGACCCTTTCTCGTCCTGGCCCATCTGGTCAGTAATTGCAGCATTCTATTTATACAACAATCATAAAAAGCAATCATCACTAGAGCCATCTATCACAAAAATGTTTCTGGCTTGTTTTACAACAACAAAATTATTTTAGTTATAATTATTTTTCAGTTTAATTGTTTTTATCTGTTTAATTTTAAATGCAATATTTTGATCAATTGCCTATGCAACTTCAGTAGCTGTAGTTTGAGGGTTGAAAAATTCATCAGAGGAAAGTCTGCTTTACACTGTTGCACAACAACGCTAACACTGTTTCCGCCTCTTTGTTTATATTGCAACTCCTTAACGCTCGTAACTACCAACACTAATGTTATAATTTCACTGATCTCTATTTTTCTAACACAGTGTTGTAGCTTCCAGATTCCAACGATCCGAGAGATGAACACAATTGCCTCAGACGCAATTTTGGTTGAACGTATATTTAAATGCCAATAGTAATAGAAACACTAAATTACAACCAGTTGAAGTAACTGCATTAAATCACAATTACAAATTCACTTCTAACCTCGCATCAAAACACAAACCTCTCTTCGCTACATAACCTCTCTTCGCTACATAACCTCCTAATATACGTAAGGAATTCTTAAAATCCAAAGATTGCAAATATAGCAAAGATAATGAATAATCATGATAACAAATAATATAGCGCAATTTGACCATTGCAGCGGTTATTATAACATTACTCCCACTTTAGCCTGTTAGTCCCTAACATAGACGTCATTTTTTTATTCCGTTGTCTTTCGTGGTCATAGGTCTTGTAAATAACTTTATTTATCTTGTTAATGACCTTGTTCCGATATTTCCAATTCCGTGAGAGTTTCGCCGAGCATCTCTTTTTTCTGCGTCGTAGGTTGTACAACCAAACCAGATCTTGTATCCTGCGTTATTTATTTTCGGGTCACGCCACGTTCCCAATGTTTCGGTTCCTCTAGCTATAGACAGACATCGTGGTTTTACTTGATTTTTTTGGCTATCCACAAAACTGTAGCATCAAGGATGCCTTGCTATCAAGAGTGCCTGGTCTCCCCTAATCCATGCTAAAAATAACAATGTTATGCTAAATGTTAAGCCACAACAAAAACTTCAAATTTTAAAAGTTTTCATTTCATGCCAATTAAATTTCGACCTTCGCTCGAGCGACTTATCTCTTACATGGATTGAAAACAACCTAGACAATCTAATAATTGAAGCGGTCAGAAATTGGCTCTCAATTCCTGTTAGTGGTTGCGTGGCGGAACTTTTATCACTGCCTACAAAACTTGGGGGGCACAACATAAAGTCTTTGAAAGATTCCACCAAAATGATGAGATTAAAGCTACGCAGCTACTTAAAAACAAATGAAAAAAAGGAATGAGATGTCTTTGGCAGAAGTTTTTCTTCAATAATAGTAAAATCGATAATGCTCTAAATAATGCAGACTCCCCGAAATCAGCACTGTCAACCACATTGAACAAACGCATGGAGACGCAATATAGCCATGTTGAGGCTCTACAAAGTCAAGCAAATTTGTCGTTGGTCAAAAACACTGGCTGACCTTTCAGCAACTCTATTCAAATTTACTAGAAAATATCTCATGCAGCAGCTACCAACAAACGCTAATCTTTTTTAGATGGGGTAAAATGAATAACCAACTTTGCCCTCTCTACAAAGGCAGCCAGACGAATAAACATGTCTTACCCAATTGAGGATCAATTTCAGCACTGGCTCGCTACACTAAAAGGCGCTAGTTGTCAACGCTTTAAAACTACAAAAACGACTGGAGTGTGTCATCTACGCTGATATAGACATTGAAGAAATACTTCCGATATCAGCTCTGTTCAAATCAATACGCCCCGACGTTGCCATCCTCCGTGGGAGCTCCATTGAAGTTCTGGAACTCACTGTATGCCACGAGACAAACTTGGCCAAGTCAAAAGAGTATAAAATCAACAAATACAAAGACAAGCTTAAGGCAAAACCTCAAAGACAATTTTAAACATTATAAAATAATTCTTAAAACATTTGAAATATCTCCAATAGGACTTTTTAATAAATTTAATTTACAATTAATTAACATAATATGGTCAGATTCGTTTGTAAATAAGTTGATTTTAACAGCAGTAACCCAATCGTACAATATCTACTGTGAACGTAATAATTGATAACATTCTTTGATGCTTTTAAACTTTTTTGTGGTTGCGTTAGGCAATGAGTAAAAAGTTTTATTATCAATAATCCATTTTATTACTGTATAAATTTTATTGATTTTATTTTACTCACCGCATTATTAACTCAAACTAAATTCAATAACTATTAACTATTAATGATTCTTCTTTTTCATGTACGAGAGGGAAAAAAATTATACCATACATACACGCACATACACCAACACACACTCACATATATACACTATACACACATACATACATACCCAAACCCACTCACATCAACGTTATTGTCTCATGGTTAAGATTTGTTTGTTTTTTTTTGTTTGTTATTTGATAGTTTTGATTTGATTGAAACGTAATTCTTAAAACTTTCTGCATTTTATTTTATGTCATTTGATTTGAAAATTCATGAAGTTTCAATCAACTAAATGAATGAGATTTTCATTTTTAGTTAAAAAATAGTTTGTTTGTATAATGTAAAAATTGCTGACATTTTTAAACTAAATTTACAATAGATTTTTATTTAAAATATAAATATCTTCCCAACAAGGTTGTCTGTCCTCCTTGGAATTTTGCTGTTGGCAATCGCAATGGCTCTTCATCAGAGGTTCACGAGAAGGAAACGTGTCGTAACCAGCCAAAGTTTGTTGCTCTCTTTTAGTTTTCATCTTGAAAATAATCTACATTTGAGTTTGACAATTTTTACTGCAGATCCTGCCACTAATAATCAACATGTTGTGGTTCAATCCAGGCCAGAAGGAACACACGCGTTTTATTCAAACTTTGAACATTATTTTGACGCAAACAAACGTTTTGTTGCCAGTGAAAACAATTTGAATAATATCAACAACGATAAATATATGTTAGAGCCTTACCGAACGAATGGGGACTACTTAGAAGACCCGATAAATGGGGGTCCATCGCCACGTCCCCCACCTCAATATTCACACATCGAATTCTTTTCAAATCCTGATGAAGGCAACAAAACCGTGAAAAGCAGTCTTGTGCAACCTTGTACTAATCTTTCCATAGTTTCCAATATAAAACAATACCAAGACGATGATTTTAATGAAGCCATGAATATGATCCGTCCAATGCAACCTGCATATTTGGCTCCAGGTACTCCAATAAAATTTCATCCACAGGGTGTTCATCAATCTTCTTCAACAACTTTCATGCCGGATCCTTATCAAAATTCTTATTCAAGACTCAATAGAGAATTAAGTGTGGGCCACATGTAGCAAATATTTAAAACGGAAAACGTTATTTGTTTTTTAAATTGCTTACTATTAATACAAACTTTACAATTTGTGTGATTCAGTATTTATTTAAAAATATGAAAAAAGCGCTTCATCTTATTTACCCATCCCTTAATTTTGTGATTTAGTTTTATCAATAATTTTTGTGATTAATTCGGGTGGCGTCAAATACATGGTTAAGAGGTAAATGTTAATTCGTTCCGTTTGTCGCTGAAAAGTTTACAGAAGTAAAAAATATTTTTTGACATGATATTCATTTTTTTAAAATAGTTCTGTGGCATTTATTTGATCCGATTACTTCGATGCTGATTATTCACTCAGTCACTCAATCTGATGTCAATCTAGTCTAGCACTTGACTAACTTAGTCTTCTAAAATTAATTATAATTAGTAGTTTATTGTCATAATTATAATAAAATTAATACTATTATATAATTATAAAAGTAAATTATTATTTTATTCTATGAAAATTGAAAATTAAATAGCAAAACAAAAATAAACAGAAACCTACCATCATTTGATTATTTTTTTAAACTTTACTTAAGTGTCTTAAACTTTCTTTTAATATTAAATATTAATATAATTATTAAAAATTAAAGTTAAAGATGAGTAATAATTATAAATATAAGTATAAATAATTTGATTATTTAAAAGGGACAAAACACAAATAACAAATCCGAGCTCAAATTCTAATAAGCCAAGCCAATATTTTTTTGAATAGGTTTCTGACTTTGTACGGCAGAAGCAATATTATTAAATTAACTGTTAATTGTTAAGTGTTAAAAAATCTAGAGATGATAATCCATTCAAATTTTTTTAATAGAGATTGATCATTAATTAGTTAAGTCACTCAAAAAGTTTTAAATTATCTCTTTTTCATGTTTTTAGTTATCTTTTCTAATTTTTTTTTCCTGCTGCTACATATATTATGAAAATTTACTAGTCTTGCGGTAAAATACTGTGACATGTTTTTACTTAGTGAATGGTAATTACTGTGATGTGTATATTTTAAATTACTAGGTCTGCGGTAAACGCCATAGCTTCTCTGGCAAAACCTCCTGCTGCACAGTCATAGTTTAAGTTTGAAAAGAAAAGAAAAAATTGAATTTCTTTTTACAGCATTTATAAATTTTAAGTTATATATTATTTTATAATGTTTTTTTGAGTTGTATTTACTGGTTTAATATCACAAGTGAGCAGTGAGCAATGTACATATGCTCTGAGAATTGAAGTTAGTATTATCTATCTAGGAATGCAACATCATTCTTGAAAACATCACATTGGTTCATTATACATTGATTTGTTTTATGAGATTTTGTTCATCAGACCAAATTGTTTTTGAATATTTTTGAGAGTTCTGACATCGATATTCAATTCATATGAACAATCAGCTGTCCCTGCAAACTTTGTAATGCATTAGAAATTTGTTAATATAGGAGTTTCATTAACTTGGATAAAAAAATGAAATGAAAAAATTGAACCTAACATTTTACAGCTGAACTATTTATCATCAAACAACTAATTGTGATCCAAACATAAATATTTAGTGACCTAATGTGCATGTAGATTACCACTTGTTCTATCCAATATTCATTCATAGAAGTTAAACTTTTAATTGAATATTTTAAATCTGGTTATAATTTTGTAGTTCTTCAGATATGTTATCACTGCTATAATAACATTTATAACATTTTAATAACTATAATAACAGTTATAACATTTTTTTAGTTTTTAGATTGCCAACTAAGGTCTTTGGTAATTAGTAAAGCATTCTCTTTAACTTGGTTTTTATCATGTTTAAAAATAAATACAATGAGTTGTTCTTTGGTAGATAATTTTTATTCAGTTATAAACATAGTTACTAATAGTGATGAATATACAAGATGAAGGAGGATTGCAAACATTTGAAATGTGGTGCTACTGAAAGTAGTTTGGAGTTTGCTGTAGATAAAGAGTGAAAAGCAAAATTATAAAATGCCATTCAGGTTGCTAAACAAAAAAGTGTGTACAATAATTACAAAGTACGTAAATGTGGACTTTTTAACATATTCAGGGAGTCAAAGGAAGAAATTATCATTTAAAATTGTCTTCTTCTTTTTCATGCATTAACCATTCAGGACATTGGCGACCATCGACATCCATAAAATCTGATCTTTAACACTTTGTAGTAGTTGAAATGTAATGGTATTCAATAAGTGACACTAGGACTTCACGAATGTTATTCATTGTTGACACGATCTCTTCTCCCTGCAAAACTGAAAAAATTATAAAAAGGCTGGAAAATAAAAGTTGGAAGATTTTGTATGAAAAATGAATGGGATTGTTTAACTGGATAAAAGTTACCAGAGATGACATAAAGTAGGGATGTCTTTGAGGAATAGTAGAGAATAATTGATCGATTGACTTTGGTAATTGTAATGGATGATCAAATTTGATATTATTGCTGTTCGTTAATGTAATGCATAATAAACCAAACACTGTTTATTTATGTCCATTACAGGCATAATGTCAAAACCTAAATCATCCCCGTCAACAATAATTCACAAGGTCATCATGGTTGGAAGTGGTGGCGTTGGTAAATCTGCTTTGACCTTACAGTTTATGTATGATGAAGTAAGTTGCAGTACTGTGTTCATTTTCACATAATGTTTATATGCTGCTACTAGACAAGTGTTGTGGGTGTATTGCCACATTATATAGCCTGTACATTGTTATGTGATGCATGGATGTTGACATACATCATGTAACAATACATACTGCGTGTGTATTGTTACATGATGTTTGGAAATTAATGTAATGTTTTTATATTGCAACATTTAAATTTTGCTCCACTGTCATTTTTAATATTTAGTTCTATATATTTGTTTATAGTTTGTTGAGGACTACGAGCCTACAAAAGCAGACAGCTACAGGAAGAAGGTGGTCGTTGATGGGAATGAGGTTCAAGTTGATATCCTTGACACCGCAGGCCAAGAAGATTATGCTGCAATCAGAGACAATTATTTCAGAAGTGGAGAAGGATTTCTTTGCGTCTTTTCTATTACTGAACAAGAATCCTTCCTACAGACTGCTGATTTTAGGTTTGCTACATTAGCTTCACTGATTTCCATTAGAAAGCATTTGATAGATCTTTTTATTTCTGTTATTATTCTGTTATTTCTGTTTTATTTCTGTTTTTATTTCTGTATAACTGTCCTGGTTAGGACATTAAACTGACCCTCACTGCCTTGTGAGTGATGTTGGATCATCAAAGGCTAGGCCCACCGCTTATAACTGTGGTTGCGTAAGGAAGGGCGTCCTGCGTAAAAATTAGCCAAATAAATTACTTATGATGACAGAAGTGACAATGGCCCTCAGTATCCGGCAGAATGGCGTCGTGGGGTATTTCAGTTTCATCATAGGTAGCCAAACGGCAACCCCCGATCTCGGGGAAAATGTCGTCTAAACGTGTGTTGTTGTTGTTGTTGTTTTATTTCTGTTATTGCGTAACTGACTTGTCAGTTCATAATATTCATATATACCTGCTTGACTTGAGTAAATTATTAATAGTGGATAGGATTTTAAAAAAAGCCCCAGTGAACGTGTAAAAATTATTTTCTTGTTTTAAAATTTTGAACAACTTGCTGATTGTAGATTTTCATCGGGCAACATTTTAATTCTGGTTGAAAGCCATGCCCTAACCTTCATCTTGGCAGACTCTTTTCTGGCCAAAAGCAGCCACTCTACAATAGACTTTCTCGGGGTCTGAAAACAGGCTGCGCCCTCTTGTTGACTAGAGACTGGCAGCGTCGACTTCCAGCATGTTTTTTTCAACGTTCATCGTTTTAAGCATATTAAATGAGCCTAGCCAAATTTCAAGTGTATGCTTTTTTTTATTAAATGAAAACAAAACAATAAAAGTCAAACCTCTGTCAATATATTATACAAAATAATAATAAACAAAACCGCATTGTTTTAAAATTAAACAAGCAAACGGATAACAACGTCAGAACAACCAGAATAAAATCCAAGCAACTAAAACCAAGAGCTTAAAATCAAGAGTCTAAAAACCAAGGGAGGTTGTCTATCAACTCACAGCCTTATATATGTTTCGACTGCCATATCAACATAACAACTTTCTATACTTCTTGAAATTTAAGTTTTCACGCAAACTCTGCCGCTTCTATTGTTCTTCTATATACAGAAAAACACGTAGCGAGCGTCACATATATGACATAGATAATAACAAAATAGACGTACATTGAAATGTTCATTTAAATATATACAGGCGGCAAACTTCAAAAGCGCAATCATTACCATATACATATAGTTGTTCTGTCACAATTTCACATAATTATTTTTGAAAGATTTTCGTAATTTCATTGTTAACACTGTACCAAAAGAATATTCCGGTGTTAATTTTTTAGTAGTTTATTTTTGTTTCTCATTCCAGATTTGATTTTAATATTTTTCAATTTGTTACAGAGAACAAATCCTACGAGTAAAAAATGACGACAACATTCCTTTTTTGCTGGTTGGCAACAAGATGGATCTTGAAAACAAAAGACAAGTCAGCTCCCAGGAAGCTCAAGCCAAGGCACAACAATGGAAGGTTTCCTATGTTGAAACGTCAGCCAAAACTAAAGAAAATGTTGACAAAGTATGTTTTTTTCGACATAAATTTTTATATCTTTTTTCAACCAATAATGTTTTGTACATGTGTTTGTTTATGTGTGTGTGTGTGTGTATGTGTGCGCGCGTGCGTGTGTTGTAAATAGGATCATTATGTGCGATTATTTTTATTGAGTTTTTTAATATAAATTTTATGAGAATTTATTCTTTTTAGTTTTTTGGATTTACTTAAGGTTTTTTCCTAAAAGAATGTCTTGTAAATTTAAAGGCAAGATTATGTTGAAATCATGCATGGTCTCTTACTTCGTTCTTGATGCAGAAACATTTGTGAAGATTGCATTAGTGTCATGGTCATAACAAAATAGCATAATATCACAAATATCAAGCAACACCAAAAAAGTCAAGCAAGCACATATGCATTCTTAAATAAGATATCTCTGTTATAGTTTAATGCCCCTGTTGATTCTAAATTCTCTTCACTCGTGTGCTAATAAAATAATAGTGCCTATAAATTACTCCAGTTCTTACACTCTATTGTTCTCAACCAACATTACATAATTCACAGTGCAACAGTATTTTCTATTTACTTCATTTTGACAGCTTTTTAGTGACCAATATGTGAGAACTTTCATCAGCTGCTTATTTTTATTATAAAATTTCAATCAATTCATTTAGCTCATACTTTGTCATTGTCAGTCGTTACAATAAGCAACATAATCATTTTAAGAGATTTTTTTCTATTGAAGAGTTGATGAAATTTTTATATTTTGCAGGTATTTTATGATTTGATGAAATTAATAAGAGACAAGAAGAACATGGAGATGATGCAGCTGGGCAACAAGAAGCCTGGCGTTGGTCCAAAGACAAATAAGTTACCCAAAAAAAAGTGCATTATTTTGTAAACCAAAGTAAAATTCGTATCTAAATAAATTATCCACATTAACTTGATTAACTTAATTTTATTAATCACACACACACACACACACACACATATATATATATATATATATATATATATATATATATATATATATATATATATATATATATATATATGAGTATAAAAGTATATATATACTTTCAGTTTCTTAGTTTATTTTTTACTGAATTTCAATTATGGTAAAGGAGTCAAAGTGATTTAGAAAAACATTCTCGTGCATGTGTGTATAAGTTATATAAATTTTTGCAATATGTTAGACATATTTTTTTTTCCAAAGAACAAATAGTGACCTAGTGTTATATATTTTTTATTTTATATCTTTCGGGTCCGGACATTCATTCAAACAAATGGCTGTAAACCGGGAAGATATAAAATGAGATTAGTAGATACCAAGGTCGCCATATCTTGATTCTTTTCATGTAAAACATGAAATGTTTGTTTCAACTTGGGATGCGTTTTACTTGATTTTGTAGAACAATTTTGATAGAGCGACATGTAACAAAGCAGTACTTCATCATCATCTGATTATCATTTTGAATGTTTTAACCACATACCCCCCTCTATGTGAAAGTTTATGTCGATTTTATATATGAATATGGATGTATAGGTGAATGTCAGTATTTATTATGTCCGTGTATGTGTTTGTGGTGGAAGTTATATGTGTGTGTATATCTAAGTGTATATGTGTATATATAATATTGTATGAATTTTGCCGAATTGTTGGCATTTACCATTTTACAATTTGTCTTTTCAATTTTTCTTACTAGAAATTTTCTAATTTATTAAAATTATAAATAAAATTATTTAAATTTATTCTACAGATAAGTGTAATTCAATTTTTCACAAATCATCTTTGGTGTAGCTTTCCAAACAAAGGACATGACACGAATTAAAACAGCTACCTTTCATTTGTTTAAAGGAATATATAAACCACATCTGTGTACTGCAGAAGATTTGAGAAAAATCGAAATAAGTCTATTTGTAAGATGAATTTGAATTTTAGTAAATTAGATAATTTTCAGAAATTTCTAGCTATTAAAATTGAAAAGACAAATTTTAAATTGGTCAATGCCAACAATTAGTAGAATTCAATATTTTATAAAATATTGTCTCCTTCAAATATATATATATATGTATAAATACATATATATATCGCATCTATTTATAGTACAGAATTTGCCCAGGCACTTGCCAATGGCTAATCTGATGTCAGATTTACACTAACAGAGTGAATTTTAACCGCTTTGTTTTGTGGTGTGTCATTTCTGATTCAATTGCAGAGTTCACGTGTTCTGAGAATTTTTCCAATTTGAATGAGTCATACATCTTTGTCTAGCAGCAGACTTTTTTCTTGCTGCAGACTGTGAGAAAAAATGTTAGAAATTGATGAAAAATAGAAGTTAACGTAGATTAATATAATCTTCCTAAGTGGTTGGAGGTACCGAAATGTAGATGATCCAATTAAAAATCCATTGGTGCTATCCTTGAATTCTTTGGAAGGAATTAATTTCATCTAATAATTCAATACGTGAGTGGTATGAAGAGCCTCTTTTTACCTAATCGATCTTTTTAAACTTCCACCCCGATTCATCACATTTACACAGATGTCTGACTATTATAAACTTCTTATAATACAAACTCTTTTTTACATTAAGAAACTCTTTAAACTCAAGTTTACAGTCTACGTTATAAATATGAAAAATTTAGCGAATGAATTATTATAATAACAGTAAATTTGCTAAAATATTTTAAAGGTGAGCCAACGTGAAGGAATGAAATCCAAAGTTTTCATGTTTGGTTTGAATCATAGGATGGGAGCGAATTTAATTGGTATACATGCACCATAATTGATGCAATATTTGAAAAATCTGCCGAATTTTTAGCTTTTAAATGTTTACGGTTAGGCTTTTCAATATCTCTAACAGTAATTTTATAATTATTCAATTTAATTTTATAATTTTTTATCAAATTTGTCAAAATTAATAAAAAAAAATCATTGGTGTTTATGATGAAGCGTATAGGTCCTATTTCGATTTTACTCATCATCAGCGCTTATATAGGAATATTTCAAAGTTTTACAGTTTTCTGTATGCAAGGGATTTTATTCTGTTTTTTCCTCTCTGTTTATTATATCTAGTTTTGTTATATGTTTATATCATTATCACTGATGAGGAATAAAATCGAAATAGGACCTATACACTTCATCATGAACACCAATGATTTTTTTTTATTAATTTTGACAAATTTGATAAAAAATTATAAAATTACTGAGAGATTGAAAAGCTCACCCGTAAACTTTCATAAGCTATAATTTTGATATATTTTATATTGCATCAATTATGGTCTTCCGGCGTATATATATATATATATATATATATATATATATATATATATATATAATGTTTGTATTATTAGTAGTAGTATTATTTATAATAACGATATTATGTTGTGTTTTTGAGGTGTAGAGATAATACTTTATTTACAGTTATTTAAATAACATTGAAATAAATACATATTTTTCAATTGTACGGTCATCGCTTGGTCAACTTAAATGATTTCTTAGTAGCTAAATCACTTTTTACTTGTTATATAGTTTTTTAATATTCCTCATTGAATTCCACTTCTATAGTTAGAACCTTTGGTTTCAATTTTCAAACGAATTGTTTTTATACATCAGTGTTGCTTCCAGCGTTAAATGTTTTATAAATAAATTCTATTTATTCGTCGCCTCCTGCAATCATCTGTCAAAATTGTTTCACGTTAAAACGTCATTTTGTAACTTGATCCCATCCGAACAATTATTTTAAATAATTATCAAAACGATAATTTAATTCTATCTGAATAAATTTTTTTTTGCAAATTCTTTATTATTAAAAATTAGTCTAATTGGTTTAGTTCCTTAATTAGTGTCGATTTGCCTGCAAATAAATGTGTAACGTTCACAGAATAACCATTAATATGAATTTAAAAAGTAGTTAGACACTGATGAATCTTTACATTACTAAAAACAATATTTCATTAGTTCGTACGCTTCAAACGCTTCATCAATGTTTTAAAAATTTGTCACCATGGTCGTTATTTATGATTCCCTTGATGTTGTACATACTTTTTATTATTCTTCATCGATCATCATAGTTGAACGTTAAAAAATGACGTGTTTCATCGCAGTACTTCTCAAACGTGCGGTCGAAGGGCAACGTGTTAGTTTTCATTCTGCTTACTGTAAGAAAGTCAAAGTATCAGTTATGACACTGAAAGTTTTTTGCAAATGTGCTTCAATGTTAGGCATGCCACCTCACAAAATCTTAGAGGTCTACGTTTATCAGTACTTCATCGTTTTATTAATCGACTAATTCAATTTCTCAATGTTTGTATAAAGTATTTATGTGCGCGTATATATATATATATATATATATATATATATTATAATTGTGTGTGCGCGCACGTTTTTTATATAAGTTTGCTTCGTAATACTTAACACCAAAAAATTATGAAAATAATTGAAGATAACTTCAATTTGTAGTCGGAGAACTCACAAGGGTGACGAAGAAATTCGTGCGGATAAACTTACGTAACATGAAGCACATATTTTCAACTGATTCAATTTTTCTAGTTTCTTTTATGTTCCTGTTCATTGCTGTTATGTTATCCGATTTTATGCTTTTTTCATTGCGCTTTCAAAAATGGGTCATAAAGTCTATAATCTTTATATTTTATGGTTGAAATTTACAAATTTTGATTATATTTTCATTGAAATCTAAAACAGTTATTTAAACGAAGACTCTTATTTTAGTAAAACCTTTTTGCTTTGTATTGAATGATGCTAACGAAAAACTATATTAATATCCGCGCAGCTCGTTTGTGTTGAATTTTCTGTTTAAAAATTGTATGAAAGACATATCTTGAAAATATTAATAAATGTGACAAACATTGCAACATGCCCATAATTACGAGTGCAGATGAATTATACTTTAGTATAAGGTTGCGTATGGTAAAATGGCAAGTGCAAAATCATTGAAAAGATCAAAAACAGTAATACAAAGGCAATGTATAAAAACATCAAAGAAATCCCTGGAAAAAAGGTTTGTACTGTTTCTGGATGCATAAAAGCTGATTCCGGTGAAGTAATCTTAGAGAAAGAAAAGTACTGGAAAGATGAACTGATTACATTAACGATCTTTATGATGATATCCGTGGTGAAATGCCTCCTATTAAAAAAAGACGTAGGAGGACCAAAGATACTTAGATCTAAAGTTCGTGCCGCTTTTTCCAAATAGAAATCAAATAAAGCGCCAGGTCCAGATGAAATAGTTGTTGGAGAAATTAAATGCCTTGATGAATTTGGCATTGAAAAAGTGACAGAAATTTTGAATGAGATTAATAACAGCGGCAAAATTCCTGAAGATCTATCCAAGTCAATATTTATTGCATTGCCTGAAAAACCTAATGCAACAGAATGTGAACTACATCAAACAATCAGCTTGATGAGTCATCTTACAAAATTTCTCTTGAGAATTTTGATGATGAGAGCAAGAAGCAAAGTCAGATCTGAAATTTCAAATGTCCAATGTGGTTTTGTAGAGGATTGTGGCACAAAAAAACGCTATCTTTATGCTACGAATGATCAGTGATCGAGCGATTGAAATAAAGACTCGTTGTTTAGATGTTTTGTCGATTACTGCATAGCTTTTGATAGCGTGAAACACGTGGAGCTTCTGGAAATATTAGAAAATTTGGACATTGATAAAAAAAGATAAAGAGTTATAAAAAACCTCCATTGGGACCAAAGAGCAGCGATGAAAGTTGGTAACAAGATTATTAGTTTTGTCAAAATAAAAAAAGGTGTTAGGCAAGGCTATGTATTCTTTCCGGACCTGTACAATCTCTATAGTGAAATCGATTGGGGGCGTAAATTTAAACAATGTAAGATATGCTGATGATAGCTTTTATAGCAGATTCAATAGAAAAACTGCAAACAATTGTTTCCGAACTGGTTTTTGAAAGTGAAAGGAAAGGCTTGCAAATTAACATCAACAAAATAGAGTGCATGGTTATTAGTAAAAGCAAAACCGCCCTCATCTGCTCCATAATCATTAATGGTAAACAGGTGAAACAAGTCAACAGCTTCAATTATCTCGGAAGTCTGATTTACCTCAGGTTGTAAATGTGATGTGGATATCAAACGAAGGATAGCTATGGCGAAAGATGCATATTCTAAAATGAAAAGCATCCTCACCAACAGTAAAATCAAAATATCAACAAAATTAAAACGGTTGGGTTTTACATTTTTTTTGTGCTAACTTACGACTCTGAGTCCTGGACAATTTCTAAAGAAATGGAAAAAAGATTAACGCTGCTGAGATGAGGTTTTTGAGAAGAATTATGAAAATTAGTTGGACCTTTCATACTTCGAATTAGGAGGTATTAAAACAGTCTGGTTATGAAAAGAGGAAATTACTTTAGACAATCCGACGAGGGAAGTTAGTTTTTTGGTCACATCATGCGGAAGACAAGAATGGAAAATCTAACAACTACTGGAAAGAATGAAGGGAAAAGAGATCACGGTCAACGACGAATCACATTCGTGAAGTCTTTGTGTCACGTTGAATATCACCACATTTTAACTACTACAAAGTGTTAAAGATCGGGTTTTGTGGATGTCGATGGTCGCCCAACGTCCTGAAAGGATAAGGCACGAGAAAGAAAAGGTTGTTAAGGCTTTGTGCATCGGTAACATTTATGATGGCATCTCCGCCGAAACAACGCTGTTAGCCAGGTTGTGGCAAACGTTTTTAATAAACACGAATTACATCGTGTCTAGTCTGTCTCAAAAAAGTTGCCGCAAAATGAGCAAAAATATTTAATATATATATATATATATATCTTTCTCTCTCTCTCTCTCTCTATATATATCCTCTTTCAAATTTAAATCGAATTGACATATCGCGTGGAATTTCAATTTTTTTAGCAAAACAAACGGCGGGCAATGGCAAAAAAAATGTTTATTAAGATATAAAGTGGGTCTAGATAACTTTGTTTGAGAGAAAAATAGGTGATCGTCATAACATTTAAAACAAAATTACAAAAACAGATATTATCAGTGGTCACGTTTGAAAATTGAAGTAAAATTACTGTTTGACTCTTCGAGAAATTTAATAATAGAAATGCTAAATTAAACAATGTTTACCATATATTTTAACAAATTGTAGAAACGTTGAATGTGACGAAAGACACCTTGGCATGAATACAACTGCACTGCTATTTGCTAACAAACATGACTTGAATAATGATAAGTACATATTGTATTCAAAATAATTTAAAATATTAATGTAAAAAATTTCAAAATTCAAATGACTTCTTGTGTTTTGAAATGCTAAAAAAGTGAGGTGGAGTATGGAACTAAAGAGACGCAAAGTAGTGACGTGAAATATTGAACATAAAAATATTAACATGAATAAGAAAAGATAACAAGTCAACGTTTTCATGTCCAGTTCTCGAAATGAACGTCATTGAAATCTTCACCATCACCAACAGGCTGATCATCATCTTTATCATCAACGTCATTCTTATTAATGACGTCATCGCCGTTATGATTGCCATCATCACTGTCCTCGTCTTCATCCACGCAGGTTTCTGAGATTAATATGACGTCGTCGTCGTTTTCATCTTCGTCATCATCGTTGCTATCAGCTTGTTTGTCATTTACAATCTGATCAACGTGACTGTCGAACGATTTCATACCTACGTCCCCGCAACTACTTGGCAGAAATAATTCATTTCGTTCATCCTCGTCGTCTCCATCGTCACCACAATCAATCCCACCGACGTTCATTACACTCGCTCCGACGAAATCATCAGAACTTGATGGGAAATAATTGGTCGGAGTCTTGCCGGCCGATACATTTATTGAAGAGATGTTCATTGCAGAAATATTCTGAACGGCTTCATTTAAATCACTTGGAGAGTAAGCCATCAAAGAGGATGTTCGTTGCGATGTTGAACATCCAACACCGCTAACAAAACGCGAATTATCGTTTCCTCTATTGTGCTCATGTGGAAACTGATCCTCAAACTCAGAAGAAATGCGGGATTCAATTGACCGTTGGCCCAGCATGGGCCTATGATTATTAAATGTTTTCGACGAATGACTGTAACCCTGTTGATATCGTTTGTGGTGGTGTGGACTGTACAGATTCATTTTGGTGCTGCCGGATGCACGATCCTGGGCCAGAACATAACTTTGTAGACGCGTTTCAGATGTTAAACCTTGGTCGACGGCAACATATTCAATGGATTGCCTGCTTTGTTTGTTCACTCGGCAGCATTCGAAATAATCAATGCAGCCTTTTACTGCGTCGTCCCTAGATGTGAAATGGGAAAATAAATTATTCCAACTGTTTTTAAAATAATAACGAAACGAAAGCGATAATTAAGTAGAACAAATGAATAACAAATTTTTTTTTAATAAAACATCACAGCCAGAAGAAAAATATAGATTGGTTCGTTTAAATTTGATCGGCAATACAAAACTTAAAACAAACAATCTGACAAAGAATGACATCTTGAAAGATGTTATTTACGAAAAAGGCTTGGCCCACCGCTTATAACTGTGGTTGCGTAAGGAAGGGCGTCCTGCGTAAAAACTAGCCAAAAAAAATAATACTTATGATGACGGAAATAACAATGGCCCTCAGTATCCGGCAGAAGAGGGTGCGAAGAATCTCCGGAGACCCAGTCCATGGGGTTATGGTGCAAGGCCCTGTGGATGGTCTGGCTACTGGCACCCCACTCTATAGTGTGGCGGTGCAAGGCACAATAGATGGAAGGACTACTTGTAGACCAAGGGGTTGGAGGTTTGGTACCTGGAATGTAGGCACGTTGACAGGAAGAAGTTTGGAAGTGGTGGAGGAGTTGCAAAGGAGAATGGTTGACGTGGCTGCATTACAGGAGATTAGATGGAAGGGTGAGGGTACAAGGTTTGTGGGGACTAAAGGTGGAAGATATAAGTTGTGGTGGAAGGGGAATGATGGTACGGGAGGAGTTGGTGTGATGGTAAGAGAAGAGTTGGTGGAGAAGGTGTTGGAAGTGAGGCGGAGAAGCAATGGTGTAATTGTGGTGGTGATGGTGTTTGGAAAAGTAATAGTGAGGGTGATATCAGGATATGCTCCGCAACAAAGTAGGAAGGAAGAGGAGAAGGATAGGTTTTATGATGATGTTTCTGACGAGATTGGGCAAGCGGGGTTGGATGAGTTTGTGGTGTTGTTGGGTGATTTGAATGGTCATGTGGGGGCGGATGCAGACGGATATGAAGGTGTACATGGGGGATGGGTATATGGTATACGGAATGAGGAAGGGCGTAGAGTGTTGGAGTTGGCGGATGCACATAGCATGGTGGTGGGGAATACCTGGTTTACAAGGGAACCAGCGCGATTGATTACATATAGGTCAGGGGAGCATAGGTCGATGATAGACTATATATTGGTAAGGGCCAAACATAGGAAGTATGTGAAGAATGTGAAGGCGATACCTGGTATGCTGCAGCATAGTATGGTTGTGATGGATGTGACATCAAAAGAAATGGGGAGGAGGAAGAAGGATAAGTTTGTGGCAAAGAGAAAGGCATGGAAGTTGCAGGATGCAGAGGTGAGGAAGGCATTTGAAGTGAAGGTGGCTGAAAATTTGGAGAGTGGTAAGGATGGAGATGTTTGGGAGAGATAAAGGGACTGTGTGTTGGCTACGGCAGATAAAGTATGTGGATGGACGAAAGGAAAGTGTAGGCATGGTGAGACGTGGTGGTGGGATGAAGATATAAGAAGGGTTTTGGAGGTCAAGAAGGAGAGGTTTAGGGTATGGAGAAGGGACATGATGGAGGAAGCGGAGTTTGAGTATAGGAAGGCTAAGAAGGTTGCAAAACAGGCAGTGGCAACTGCAATGACGAAAGCATCAGATAGGTTAATGAAGGAAATGGAATTTGATGTGAGTTCGAAGAAAATGTTCAAAGTAGCAAAGCAGTCAATGAGGGATATGAAAGATGTTATAGGGAATGGATGTGTTTGGGATGGATCTGGCAAACGGTGCATAGATGAGGAGGAAAAAGCTCAGGCGTGGAAAGCTCATAAGGAAAGGTTGATGAATGAAGAGAATGAGTGGGATGGAGATGTGGAATCCGCGGTCACACACGGACCTATAGAGAAGGTGACGATGGAGGAAGTAGAGAAAGCAGTTAGAGAAATGAAACTAGGTAAGGCGACAGGGGTTGGGTTTCGGAAGTGGCGGCAGAACATATAAAAGCGAGTGGGGTGATAGGAATTGAAGTTATGATGAGAATTGCTAACAGTATGTTTGATAATGAAAGTATACCTGAGGATTGGCGACACAGTGTGTTGGTGCCGTTGTAAAAGGGCAAAGGAGATGTGAGAGATTGTGGGTCATATAGGAGTGTGAAATTGCTAGAGCACGGAATGAAGGTAGTGGAGAGGGTGCTTGAGAGGAGGTTGAGAAATATGGTGACAGTTAATGAAATGCAGTGTGGGTTTATGCCTGGTAGGGGAACGGTGGATGCGTTGTTCATGGTGAGAATGTTGCAGGAGAATTATAGAAAGAAGGAACGAAGATTGTACATGTGTTTGTGGATCTAGAAAAGGCTTTTGATCGAGTACCGAGGAAGGTCATTGAATGGGCGTTGAGGAAGAAAGGAGTAAATGAGAGACTTGTTAAAGCTGTGATGCAGCTGTATGAAGGGGCAAAGACAAAGGTGAGGGTTGGAAGAGGGATGTCGGACGCTTTTAGTGTTAAGGTAGGAGTGCATCAAGGATCAGTGTTATCACCGTTTCTGTTTGCAATTTTGATGGATGTTGTGTGTGGAAACAGAATGGAGGGGTTGTTATTTGAGATTTTGTATGCAGATGATTTAGTCTTGATGGCTGGTAGCATGGAAGAATTGCTGTTAAAATTTGACAGATGGAAAAGTGTTATTGAAAAGAAAGGGTTGGAAGTTAATATTGGTAAGACGAAGGTAATGGTGAGTGAGGAAGGTGGGGAGCGAGTGATAAGTAAAATAGACCCCTGTGGGGTATGTGATAGGAGAGTGAAGGTTAACTCAGTATTGTGTATAGGATGTCAGAAATGGGTGCATAAGAGATGTAGTGGTGTGAGGGGGGCACTGAAAAAGGTGGAAGGCACGTTCAAATGTAAGAAATGTGTTCATGGTGTGATTAATAGGACGGACGCAAGGACGGGGTTGAGCGGTGGTATTGAAAGAGTGGAAAGCTTTGTTTACTTAGAGGATAAGCTGAACGCGGATGGAGGATGTTTGAGCGCAGTTACGGCTAGAGTTCGTGTAGGATGGATGAAATTTAGGGAACTGGGTGGGGTATTGTGTGGAAAGAAATGGTCAGTGAAGATGAAAGGGAGGGTATATAAAGCATGTGTGAGAGCAGCGATGGTATATGGTGGTGAAACTTGGGTGTTGAGGAGAGAGGAGGAAAGTGTACTGCAGATGACTGAAAGAGCTATGGTGAGGATGATGTGTGGGGTTAAAGTGAAGGATAGGAGGAGTAGTACAGAGCTGATGTCAATGATGGGACTGAATGAGGACATTGTGACATTGATAAGGAGATCGAGATTGCGGTGGTATGGACATGTGTTGAGAAGGGATGAAAGGGTCGGGATTAGGCGAGCGTTGGAGTTCGAGGTTGAAGGAGTGGTAGGAAGGGGTCGTCCACGATTGGGATGGAGAGAGCAGGTGGAGAAGGACAGGGTGAAAGCGGGGTTGCGTGATACTGAGGCGAGTGACAGATGTGGATGGCGTCGAGGGTATTTCGGTTTCATCATAGGTAGCCAAACGACAACCCCCGATCTCGGAGAAAATGTCGTCTAAACGTGTGTTGTAAAGATGTTATTTACGAGCGGATTGCGAGCTGATAAGCTCATAGTGACGAAGATTGGGTATGAAGGCGCAGAAAATTTTTGGTTGCGGGAAAAGAACGATGTTGGTCAAACTGGCTGCCAATAGTAATGCAACAAGAGAGAATCACCACCATCACCATTAAATGGTGTCAGAGACAATCAAGCAAGACATTTTCACAGTTGTTAGAATGCATTCTTGAACGATGCCATAAGTCTGGTGACTTGCAAGATACATATACATCATATGCAATTTGTATCTTTGAATCATTTTCCTATCAGCACAACGACACTTCTCACGATATCGTCAGCATCTTTCGCGCTGGTTTCACATTTAATGATTTCCACGTGTTATTACTTCCACTTGAAAATAAAAGCAACGCAATAAATGATGATGAAAATGGGAAAATCTCCTCACAAATAGTAAACTTTGAGTCCCATGCTCTTGAACTGGGTGAGTGAGCGCTTGAAAAGATTGCGAGCCGATTCGTTGCCGTCAAAAATGATCAGGTCGGCTTTCTTCAAACTGTATCGTTTCTATGGTGATGATGATGTTGGAGGTGGTGATGATGATGATGTTGGAGGTGGTGATGATGATGTTGGAAGTGGTGATGATGATGATGTTGGAGGTGGTGATGATGATGCTGGAAGTGGTGATGACGATGGTGTTGGAGGTGGTGATGATGATGGTGTTGGAGGTGGTGGTGATGATGACCTTGACGATGACCAAGGCAGTGATGACTAAGGAAAGAAATAATGTTGAGTGAAATTGATGATTAACCAAAATAAACAGCACCATCAGCATAATCATTTCAAGCAGCTACTCATTAACCTTAGGTCCTGTGAAGAACTTCACCGGTATGCCTCGTTCAATGTGTGTTATGGGGCCAAACTTTTCAAAATAGGTCTGCATGTCATCTATCTTCTCGGAATGTGGGTAGTTTAGCTGGTTGAAGTGCATTGGGAAGCAAGTTTCTATCAACATGTTATCATTTGAAATGCATTTAAACTGACTAAGTTACAAAAACTAACAAGAACAATACTTCTGTAGAACAACAGCTGCTTCCACTTTTCTGCGTCAGGTTCGATGACATGTCTTGGATTTCTCCTCACCATCTCGCCAGCTTCATCAACCTGCAAAATTAAAAACAACTATAGAATGCTCGGTGTTTATGATGAAGCTTGAGTGTATGTAGGGAGGTGACAGGACAAATAACTCCGGACAATAATCTCTAGGACAAACAATTCCTACGAAAAAACCTTCTGAAAAAAACAACCCACACAAAAAAACCTTCCAACAAGACTCCGGACAAAACCTCCTGGACAAAAAATTAAAAAACCCCTTTACAAAAACACAAACACCCATTTATTTGTTTTGCGAGGAATATTTTTGTCTAGAGGTTTCTTGACTGAAGGGTATTTAGCAAAAGGGCTGGTTAGGTTAGGAGTTTTGGGCTCAACGGTATTTTAGCTGGGGGTTCACCCAAGAAGTTATCTTTCGTGAAACATTTTTTTATACATAACATTTTTTAAAATTAGTGTCTTAAATTATTTTTGAATTGAACATAACCTGTTTGTTACATTATTAATATTCAAGTGTGAAATAAAAAAAAGATGGTTTATAATTTAGGCTCCAAAATCACGTTCAAACTTTCAAGTGATTTTAAAACAACGTTGAGCCCCTGTCGACACATTCACAGCACTACCAGCCAGTTCAACTCTTGTATTAAATATATCAACAAAATATTAAAACATTCCTTTCACAATATAGCCTGGTTGAAATAAAATTACACAAGAATTTAATTTAATTTCACCACTTTTACCAATCAAAGAGATGTAGGAATGTTTCTTGTTTTAATGCTGCTATGAAACTTGCCAACTACAAAGATATCACAAAATTATGTTATCTTTCAGTATATTCAGTATAAAGCATAAATACGGAATGATTTTACTAATGTAAACAATTACATCAACTAATCTCTAATGTTTTAGATGTATTCTTTAATTTTGTAATAATATTCAAATGATTGAAACAAGCGAACCTCGACGATTGTTGAATAACGTCTGAGTGCATTGGCAACAAATTTGCTGTTAACGTTGAAGGTTTTCATTCTGTTGAAGGTCAACAAGACTGATAAACTGACCCCTGCTCGTTTCATTGGAAGAAAAGATTCATGAACAAATAAAAAAAATCAAAAATTTACAGTAAGACCATACAGAAATAGAAAAAATGAAGAACCGATCATTAAGTGGGACCGTGGTCACTCACCTCACTGCCAAATTGATCAACAATTTTTCAGACTAATCCTACCAACACACATTAAGTATTTAAAGTAAAAGTATTTCCTCAAAGAAATTTGATGTAATTGAAGCATTGAGATAAAATCTGACCATCATGCAGTTGCGTCAACAGCTGAGTAATGAAAGAGGCTTACAACGTCATGAATGTTGAACCCAATATTTGACACGCCGAACATTCAGTCAAAATGTGGCATTTGGCTTTGACCATTTTTAAAAACTTAATAGCTGAATATCGCAACCATTGTTTATTTAAGCCATTACTTATTTGGATTTCAGAACAATAATAATAATTGTTGATTATTATTAGTGAAAAATTTATTTTATCGATCATAGCTGTTAAAACATCTGAATTTGAACATTATCTCGATGAAGAATTGTTGGATGGACATGAATCGTCCACTGCTTTTTTTCAATAGCAAGTTTTCATTAAAATTGTAATTTTTCAGTATTGGGCCTTTGTCGGTCGAATAGTGGATCGACCGAGTTCACTATTCGGTGCATCTCTTATATGGATACGAAGTGAAAGTGTAAAATAGACGGAGTAGACGTTGAAAGAGAAAGAGTTAATTAATTAATTGAAAAAATTATGAATAATAAAATATCCAAATAATGCAATGAAAAAAAAGAGCATACATCCATCTGGGTTGAGTGCAACTTGATTCTTCAGGAAGTCATCCTTCTTCAAGTTGACATCAGAGAAGTAATACTAGCAAATAATATTCAGTGAAATAATTATTCATGTGTAGCATCGTGGTCTTTAAATACTCAACTAAAATTTAAACATTTATTATAAACGTTGTTGGGCAACAATTTTTTTTAAAACTAATAAATATTTAAATGATTTAAGTTGATGTTGACATACATCAATTTGTTTTTGAATCTTTCCGCAGAGTTCCTCATTCAGTTCCATCGACTCATTACAGCTGTCAATCATGCCTGGTGGGAGGGATCATTAACATAATTAGCGCAGCCAAAATAAATATGCTCAACCTTAAGTACCTCACTAAGTAGTATAACCACATTATCACCACCACACCCACCACCACCATCATGCATTCAAATCATCACCCCAACCATCATCACCATCACCTTTGTTCAAAAGATCCTGCACAGACACATTTGAAAGTTCTGAGATGGTTGACCCTGATGTTGTAAGAGTGCGCATCGTCTCAATGTTCTCCAGACTCGCTGACGCTGCACCATCTTGTGGTTCTTCATTCCCACCATCTCCGCCAACCTTGTTGTCGTCGTCGTTTTTGTTATCATCATTATCTTCCAGGTCAGCAGCAGCACCGGAAAAAACAAAAGGAGATGAGTGCAGCAGAGTTTTAGGTTTAGTGACAGCAGGGCTGTTTTCTTTAAAATCATCGACTGCTTTATCGTAAACTGAATTTTTTATGCAAGTGTTTTTATATGAAACACAGCTCCCTTCATCGTCCATTTCTTCGTGACCGATAATTTCTTGTATAATTTTTATATCAGAAAAAAGTTCTTCAGACCTTTCCAGTTTAACATTAACAGTGGCCTCTTTGAGAACTTGATTACCATCAGCCACGACAACTTGACCTGTCCCCGCAGTGCTGCCATCTGCGACAACATCTTTGTCGATCCGCCGTGCAGCCACATCTGCCACCAAATCAGCCACACTGACATCTGGTGAAAAAAGGTGAGGGACGGTATGAGGAGCATCTGGTTTCGTAAAAAATGGGTCATCGTCATGAGAAAACTGGGGCAAGTCACAACCGACGTACGCATCGTTGTTGATGCAATAGCGAATGAGACGACTCCAACATAGATCTTGGCAGAGGACGTGAGGGTTTCCAATGACAACCTGATGATGCAGACGATGATGAAGTTGATCGCAAGGAAAATATAAATTTAAAAACTGAACACCACAACAATGAATGTTCGTACGAACCTGCATAGAATAATCCATTTAATGTTAAACACATGAAACAAATAAGTACAGTGCATGTACGAAGATGAACAACCTACCAGCAAGGAATGCGCTCTTGTGATAGCTACATTGAATCTTTTCTGGTTGCCCAAAAATCCAAGAGTATACTTGAGATCCAGATCAAGCAGTGATTCGGACGATCTGACAGTTGAAATGATGATGGCCAATCGTTCTTGACCTTGGAACTCTTCCACCGATCCTACCTTCACTTTTGGGAGGTCGTGCCGGATTGCAGTCTGCCTTATTTTTTCAACTTGCTTTTTGTAGGGCGTGATGACGCCAACGTCGTCAGGGCTGATTGTGTAAGCGTCGTTGTTCAGCAGACTGCCCAAGTACTTCACAGTCTGCAGATAAAAAATAAAAACTGAATGCCTAGTAGCAAAAAATATATTCAATAAAAACATGCTGCATGCACACGACCAGCTCATAGAAGCATCAACCCACCAAGGCAACTTCGTATGGGTTGAACCACGAAGGACTGTTGCCTTCCCTCAGATCTTCGCCCCTGACCCCATGGAACAGAATAGGAAAGTTGTTTTTGTTGGGAAGCATGGACCAGTTGCACAAACATGTCATCAGCTGTTTGTCTGCCTGCAGGATTAGGGTAATGGTTATAAAGACGTTGATCCTGGAAATTAACATTAATTTCATTGGTCAACATTCAGAGGAGTTATGGTCACTACTAATCCACTGCCAAACGGTATGTGGCGGTTTCTCCGAACATTTCCCAAGAGTCTCAACATAATGGCTTTGTATGGAAAATGTTATTGAATATTTTTGACATCCCTACCAGTAATTCAGTATGATAGTAATTTTATTTAAACTCATAAATTATTTTCTCAATCTCTTCATATTCATCATCTTAAAAAGCATAATACAGTTGAAAGGTTTTAACAAGGATCTTGACAGATGAAACAGTTTTGGTAAATCAAACAGTTTGAAAACATGCAAAAGCAAAAACAAAAAAAAAATTAACAACAAAACATAAGAAGTTGAAAAAAAATTTATTCAACAAAATGGTATTGCCAATCTCTTGAATTTCAAATAGCTGAACCCCAATTTCTGCAGTATCATCATTGTTTCTTATTTTTCTGAAAAGCAGCACATTTTTTTGTTGCAGGTTACTTCCAGTTTGGAGTATTTTTGTTATTGTTTTCCATATTCCCTCTCTGAAGATATTGATTCATTTGAAGCAGTGCAGAACATCTTTTGTTTTTAAAAGTTCCTCATCCAATAAATGATTAATAGCTTCATAAAATGATCGAAATATAATTTTAAACTTATCTCTCTTATTTTTAACAACTCTTGCAATCACGCATTGCACAAATGCACGCATACAAATTAATGTTTCAGTTACAGTTTCAATAAAAATTATCCATAACTGTTCATAATGAAACATCAATGCATACTTCCCACAATTCAAAGCATCCCAGATACAAACTTCCCACAATTCAATGCATCCCAGATACAAACTTCCCACAATTCAATGCATCCCAGATACAAACTTCCCACAATTCAATGCATCCCAGATACAAACTTCCCACAATTCAATGCATCCCAGATACAAACTTCCCACAATTCAATGCATCCCAGATACAAACTTCCCACAATTCAATGCATCCCAGATACAAACTTCCCACAATTCAATGCATCCCAGATACAAACTTCCCACAATTCAATGCATCCCAGATACAAACTTCCCACAATTCAATGCATCCCAGATACAAACTTCCCACAATTCAATGCATCCCAGATACAAACTTCCCACAATTCAATGCATCCCAGATACAAACTTCCCACAATTCAATGCATCCCAGACACAAACTTCCCACAAATCCCAAAGAAACACCAACGGACCTTCATGACAAGCTCCCCATGGTAGAACATGTGAGAGGACAGGTACATAAGCGATGGATGTGACCTGTAGTTGTCCAAGAGTTTGGTGATTAAGAGTGGATCGTAACCTCCCCTGTTGCTGAACTTGTTCTCGTTTCTTTCGTACAAAGGTAGGGCAGAGAGGCGCTCCATGTACGAAACATTCAACCCGTAGTCCTTGGCAAACTGGCTTCGAAGAACGGGACCCAACTGCTGCGGGTCACCTGCCAAAACTATCTGGAAGTTTAAAAGTGCATTGAATACAAACTTCAATCATCTTTCTGTTGTTTCTTTTATTGCATTTTTAAAAAAAACAGTCATAGAATTAGAATTTTTTAAATAAAGAGCAACAAGAGAAGAAAGAGAGTGCTGACCTGTCCATGCAGGGACATCACGAGACCGACAGCTATCATCGATTCGGGTTCTGTAGCCTGGCCAGCCTCATCGATGAACACGTGGGTGAAACTAACACCAGCATCACTGACACCGTCACTTTTATTACCAGACCTCCCAACATCCGTTTTATTTCTACTGTTTTTTCCAGAAAATTTTTTGCCGACCCGATAAAGACATCCAGCCGTTGCGCATGTACAGATGACGATCGATTTGTCTTCCAAGTTCAGATCGGCATCATCGACAAACGACGAAAAGGATTTTATAGAGTCAGGAATGAACTAAAAGATACGAATAGGAATAAACGTATAAGCAATATTCGCTTGGCATTTTTAGTGCTGACAAAATAATATGTTGTCATTAACATGTCCAGAAAATTAATTGTAGCAAAAACAACAATTGAATAATGATCTTACAACGTCTTGCCTCAGAGCAGCATACAACCTGACCATCATCGACTTGTGGACTACCCCACTCTGAAACAATCTGATTTTGTCATAAAAATTTAATTCATTTGAACAGGCTTTAAAAAATTTGATAAAAAATATTTAAAATACCCACAATTTCACACAAGCACATTGTCGTATGGTATTATCATTTTTGTATATTTCAGTAATCAATTTACATCATTTATCATTCTTATAAAGGAAAATCATTTCGCTTGTTTCCTTTCATTTCTTCTATTCAAATTTTCATCATCTTAACATTTAATTTACAAATTTTAAATAATCTATCAATCAATTTCATCCGCCTAATCATTCATCTACATCATAATCCACCTATCCATTCATTCATTTATCTATCCATCCACCCGGCCATCCACCAATTCATCCATCCACCCATTCGTCAACAGTTCAACCTCTCAGCCAGCAGATCAGCGGCACTATTGGACGGCGTGCAAGCAAGTATGCGTGCGTGAGCAAGATGGTGCTGGACCTGCAGAATCGATTCAACTACTGTTATTGTCTTACCTGGTGGGTTATTCATATTTTTGTTAGTTGTTGTTTGACGGATCAGAGATAGCATAATAGCTGCAACTGTCTGAAAATAAATGAAATGATGTTGTTAAAAGCTTGGTGGACCTGTTCCAGGCGGTCCGAAGATGATGTACGGTGTCGGCCGTGCATGGCCCTGGAGAATCCTGATGACTGCCAGTCGCTGGCGGGTGTTCAACTGATTGTTAAAGAACTTCACCGACTGGTCAGTTTGAATGTTGGGATAATATGAGCTGTGCTTTCGGCCAATAGATGACGTGACGGGAACTACTTCGGCTCTGTGATTGGTCGATGATGAAGTTGAAGCAGAGGAGCAGTTAAGCAGGTCAACTTGTGATGGCTTTAGAACAATTTTTGCTGGGAAGAGAACTGTGTTTGAGATCAATGAATATTAATTGTAGATCAATGAATATTAATTGTAGATCAACGAATATTAATTGTAGATCAATGAATATTAATTGTACATCAATGAATATTAATTGTAGATCAATGAATATTAATTGTAGATCAATGAATATTAATTGTAGGTCAATGAATATTAATTGTAGCTATCGATAAAACAAAATATTTTTAATTCAATGGTTTTAATCACCCCCAATAATTAAACAAAATATTTCATTTACTTTCATCTTTAAACTTGGAGGCCAGTTCAACAGCCATGTGGCATCTCCTCAACGTGCTCCTGGAATGTGAGGATGAATAGCATCAGATGACCAATACATAAACTTGTTAAGGTTAAATGTCATTCAAATGCCAAGTGTCAGCCATGCACTGCACATAAGCAGAATTACAAGTGATGTCATCTCGCTGAACATGCAGCACTGAATCATCTGCTCCACTACTTACTTCGTCAGCTGTTCTGATGGCATTTATAAACTAGCACGACAACGAGGCACTTTAATAACAAATATATTGATTCACCAAAATTTGCTCAAGTTCATACTCTGGAATATTGGAACTCATTGCCATGATTTGATGAAACGGCACATTGAAGCATGCGGTTGAAACATGCAACAAAACAAACTGCAAACTAACTTGAAAAAAACTCTAAAACTATTTCTAAAAAAAATGCATTCATTCAAAAATCGACTCCAGTCGATTTTATCACGGAAATGATAAAAATATAAAAGGGCATATTTTGTGTAACAATTTTCAAAATGATGTACAGAAAGATATAGCAATCATATTGAGGCAGTCAACTTAATGAAGGAGCGACCTGTTGAATGTGAAGGTCATGTTGTATTGAGTTTCCGGCTCAAAGGTTTTGTGGAATTCAGGACTGAACATCAGGTAGACTGAATCATTGCGCACCTAAGAAAGCAAGTAGTTTTAAAAATTAACCAAAATAAAAACAGCTGCTATTGCGATAAGGAATCACAAAAATTTTATGATTCGACATTAAAATAGAACAATGTAAAAATAACTGTGACCAATATCCACAATATAGTTATAAATCGAAACGACATCAGCTAGATAATAAAATAAGAGCTTGGTAATATATGAAGATGAACAAATGAACAGATAGACAGAAGAACAAGTGAACAGATGAACAAATAAAGAGATAAACAGATGGACTGAAGAAGAAATGAACCTGATGAATAACTCCCTCGTAGGCAGGCGCTGCAGTGTTCAGCAACTCAACTTCAGACGCGATGACCCGGTCGCCCAGAATGAGGGAGGGTCGACCTTCGAGCAGGCCGGGGACCTTGAGGGAGAGGTAGTCACCCGCTCGTTCCATGCTCGCCTGTTGTTCAATCGCGGGATAAGCAGACCATCACGATTACGATGCAATTAAAAAGGTGATCATAAAGTTGCCATACATCACAATCAATTTAATTTATAGGAACAAGAAAATAATCGGAAATAAAATATCTATCAGGTTCAATCATATTAAAGCATGGCCTCATCATCGGTCCAATAAATATTACCCCGTCACAAACACTGGCCACGACCACCAAGAAGTTTGATCAAACAGAAGTTTCGGTTAGTGCAATTATACTATCAATGAGATAAATTTTTGTAGTAACTCATGACGCGAGATAATGGAAAACATAAATATGTCAGAGAAACATTAGTGGATCAACCATCCGATCAATCCAACCAATTAAATGAACAACCAACCAATCAATCAATCAACCATCCAACCAATCAATCAAATAAACAAACAAATAACCAACCAACCAACCAGCCAACCACATTACCTTATCCATATCAAATTCTCTGATGTCGATTTCCTGTTGTACTTCTTCCAGGTGCAACAAGCCACTGAATCGTATCTCATAATTCGATGAGTTCAGTTGCTGTTTACGGAAACATTACATTACAACGATAACGATGAATAAGAAGAATAATAATTGAAAAAACGCAAGTTATCTGCCTCATCATTCGCATCATGGAAAGCCGCATTGTTTCACTTAATGGCTGTTTGATACTTTCAACAAGTTGAAAAATCTTAAAATTGGCCGCATATAAAAATTTGTGGCGCCATCTCATTTACATTTCCTGTGACTATCAGGCACCCATTTTTTGTGGTGTCGTGCCAACATTTAATTTGCCGTCATAATTTTTACTGAGGTTGTAATAATAAAATTTGCATTCCCGTAATCTCTTGGTTACCAAAATGTTGAAATTTAGTTAAAATTCTCGGCACTTTGCAGGGCTTGAAATGGTTGAAAATATTTAAGATTAACTTTTTTATATTTTTAATCATTCTTTCCACTAGTACATTGTCAGTGATGCGTTACATTTCTCAGGTGTAATTGAGATCAATCAATCATGAATACTTGTGCCAGCAACAACAACGACAACAACCATACGTCAAACTGATAGGTGAGGTTTTGAAATACAGAAAAAAATAGTGATACTGATGCAAAGTCTAATGACAAAGATGAACCAGTATCAAGTATAAAATTATTAGATAAACAATGAAAACCTGCTTGCCAATCTTGCAAATAGATGAACTTAAATTCATTTTAACTGATCTACATTATTTAACTCAACTCAACATCAACATCATCATCATCATCATCATCATTGATCTACATAGATTATAAAAATATACATGTAGTTCAACAAAACCAAACCAAATAAAACAACAATAGGCAAACAAATCATCAATGTCTGATTCTATATTAGCAGAAGTAACTATCAACATAACATAACAGGGTTTATAGTGATTCAGAAGGTTGGTGTCTGTGTGAGAACCGTTCTTAACAATCTTTCTCCTAGTGAGCATTTAATTACATAAATATATTTTTTGTGTTTTTTTGACACACCTGCCCTGAGGGCCACAGCGGACCCCGCATCAGCCAGTTGTAAAGTTGAAGTGCATCAAATATAAACAGTTCAAAACCTGGAAATACTTGCAACAGAATGTTTATCAAAACTACAGAATTATTGTAAATTCTGCCTGGCAGATGTTTTTTTCATTACATTAAAATAAATTCAACAAAACGTTTTCTTATTTCTGAAGCGCATTTTTTAGAAATAAATAGAAATTCCATGAAATATAATCACAGAGAATGCATCCACTTGCAGGCCGCAGGTTGGCCACGCCCGTCCCACATCAACTCAACATCACCATCATCATCAACAACATCATCATCAACTCAACATCACCATCATCGTCATCATCGTCATCACCATCATGCACACAGCTACCATTACATTCAAACTTATTGTGCAGAAGACAGCATCAAGGAAATCATCAACATGACTGTCAGCTTTCAAGCAGACATTGAAAGACAAAAAAACTAGCATCGCCATTATCAGCTATGACGAGCAACATCAGCATTACTATTATCATCAACATTGACATCACAATCATTACCTACACCACCAATATACCATCATCATCATCATAATCATCATACCCATTTAAGGCACGGCAGAATCCTGGTGACATCCTTGCCATTGAGAACACAGTCCCTCAGATCATCCGGGACGTGATAATGTGCCAGTCTGACTATTGCACCTTTCGGCTTCTGTTTGCCTCTGAAAATAGCATAAAAAATGTTTAATCTTCAACATGAACCAATTAAAATTTAATCAAAAGTGTTAAAAGATTAAAAAGATGATAAGGAATATTACATTTAATTGTAACAAACAATTTTGACCAAAAAATTTTAATGTTTGATTAAATCAGAGGCAGTTGATTAACAAAGAGTCAATCCTCATTAGAATTTAACTGACTTATTACACCCTCATAAGATATTGATAAGAAATCCACTGACTTATTAAATTGCAACTTGGGTCCCGGCACGAGGACAGAGTCTCTGTTGATTGCTTGCTGTCTCGTCATCAATATCCTCTCCAACTTGTCAACTTTCTGATAAGTGCTGTCAGGAGCAATTCCTTCAAACTTTAACGAGGGGTCCGATACATTAACTGACACAACCTTCCCTAACTTGAACTTCTCAAAGTAGAAAATGATTGTCTGACTTTCTTTTCCTATGTATCTGAAACAAATTTATAATTTAATGATTTGTGACAATAATATTGCACGTGTTTATCAATACCAATCTCACTACAAAGAAGTAAAACTTTTTAACGATGAAAAATAAATATCTAATCAGTTAAATAAAAACATCCAGTACACTGGCAGACTGTAAACAAAAAGATCAAAGATAAATACATACCTGCTTCTGTAAGACACAAATGTCTTTAAATCAAATTTTAATTAAAATGAAAGCTGTTACGTAACTGTGTCAATTTTGTAAAATTTCCATGCATGACAGACATTCAACTGCAAAACTAACTTGGCTAAACAAATAACAGAAACGGACACTGACTGACCAGGCATAATGTCTATGGGAAACATTTCCAAATACTTTTTAGATTCACTCTACAAAATAAAAACAAAATTAAAATACACCTCTTCAATCATAAATTCAATTAAAATATTTCGAAAAATTAAATTTTTTCAACAAAAAAAAATTTATGAATAGTAATAAAATAAAAAGTGATAATAATGTTCACTTTTGTATCAATGCCAATCATTTTCAATGGTCCAAAATCAATTTGATGACTTTTGTTATTCATATTATAGCTACACAAGGACTGACATTCAGTCCCATTGTTTCTATGACAAAGTGAAAATTATGAATAAAATTTCAAAATAAATAAATATAAAAATTAAATATTTATATGCAGGCAAACAACAATAGAAAATTTTAAAAGAAATAAGATTATCTAAGATAATAAAAGTAATATGATAAAGCACTTGATTTCAAAAGAAATAGATTTTTTGTCCCCAACTTCCATGCTCCCAAAATCAGTTCCAACTATTTCAATGCCAAACTTTTCTTTTAGCAATTGTTCCAGAGCTTGCCTATCGGCCATTATTTTTTCTTTTCTCTTTTTTTTCATTGCTTCTTCCTCCAATTTCTTGCAGTCAACATTTATTATATTCTTTGCCTCCTCATCTGATGTCCACTCAGTAGAACTATCGTCCCAACAATTCGCCACTTTTGAAACTCTTTCAGCTAACCAACCAGCAGACGCATGTTCCTTATAAGCTTTCACATTTACTTTGTCCCCAACCAAAGGCAATCCAGATCCTGCAAAATTTTCTCTGGTGAATACAATTTCCCCGTTGATTAAGCCGTACGTGGAGTACATATTAGTGACTACACCTTCAATTTCCTGAGTTTTTCTGCTCGGGCGAACGTAGGCACTGCCCATGTCCACGCAGGTACCTTCCAAATCTTCTTCACTGCTGGTTTCATTTTCATCATTAGTGCCACTTGTTAAATGGAAGATTCTAGCGAGCCGGGTAAACATTTATAGCATACAAAGCGAAAGTGTTATTTCAAACACGACGACAAGTCTAGTATTTTCTCTCTTACTAATTGCCAACCCTTTAATTTAACAATACAATGAGAAAGAGTTAATTAAAAAGGAGCGCTCAAATAAATATGACCGGAAAAAAGAAAAGTAAAGTTAATTCACAATAGTGATGACTCATCTCATATAGAAGTAGAAAAGTTGACAATAAGTAATGGCAACCTACTGTCCACAACTAACGCCAAGAAAACCATCGACAAACACAAATCAAATCAAAAAACACCTGGTTTGACAATCACCCAAGGAGCAAATATACTTGGAAAAACTCCGGTAAGAAATATGATTGATTAAATTACAATAAATAGACGATTTCTAAATGCTGTTTTACAATGCAGAAGTTATCATGGAGCTGATTGTGGCAGAAATCATAACCCAGTTGTTTGTAAAATCAGGATAAAGTTAAAAAAAATCAAAAGATAAGTGGCCCCAAAACGTTTGAATTTTGTCAGTCTGTCACAAAATGATGAGATCAAAGATCAAGTATAACGTTGAAGTACGGAATCGTTTTAAGTTATTGACGGAAGACGTAAATAAATCTAAATATAAAATATTTAGCGATGCCCTCACAAAATCAGCAAAAAAGTTATACCTGTGAAAGAGCAAAAAAGAGGTCATAAATGGATACAGATGACATCGTATCTCTGATCGGCGAACGAATGAAAGTGAAAGGTTGCAATCCTGATAGTTACAAAAAGCTGGACAAAACAATAAAAAAGTGCTTAGAGGCAAAGGAGAAATGATTAAATGACAAGTGCGAAATCATTGAAAAGACCAAAAACAGTAATTCAAATGCAATGTATAAAAACGTCAAAGAAATCACTGGATAAAGAGCTGGTACCGTTTCTGGATGCATAAAAGCCAAATCCGGTGAAGTAATCTTAGAGAGAAAAAAAAGTACTTGAAAGATGGACTGAATACATTAACAATCTTTTCGATGATATCCGTGGTGAAAGGCGTGAAAAAGACGTAGAAGGACATAAGATACTTAGATCTGAAGTTCGTGCCTCTCATTCCAAATTGAAATAAAATAAAGCGCCAGGTCCAGACGTTGAAAGAATTAAATGTCTCGATGAATTTGGCATTAAAAAAGTGACAGAAATTTTGAATGAGATTTATAACAGCGACAAAGTCAATATTTATTACATAGCGATAGCTTACAAAACCTAATGCAACTGAATGTAAACTACATCGAACAATCAGCTTGATGAGTCATCTAACAAAACTTTTCTTGAGAATTCTGATGATGGGAGCACGAAGCAAAATCAGATCTGAAATATCAAATGTTCAATGTAGTTTCGTTGAGGATTTTGGCACAAGAAACGCTATCTTTATGCTACGAATAAGTGAACAAGCGATTGAAATAGGGTTTATATGTTTTGTCGATTACTCCAAAGCTTTTGATAGCGTGAAACACGTGTGGAGCTTATGGAAATATTAGAAAATTTAGACATTGATTGAAAAGACACGAGAGTTAAAGTTTTTTGGTCACATCGTGCGGAAGAAAAGAATGGAAAATCTAACAACTACTGGAAAGATTGCAGGGAAAAGAGATCGCGATCAATAACGAATAATATTCGTGAAGTCCTTGTGTCACTTGTTGAATATCACCACATTTCAACTTCTCAAAAGTGTTAAAAATCGGGTTTTGTGGAGGTCGATGGTCCTGAAAGGATAAAGCACGAGAAAGAAGATGATGATGCGCAATGATTTCCATTACTTTCACATCTCTTTCATTAACATTTCAATGAGCTTGACCGACTTTACTAAAATATCATGGAGTAAATGTTTTAATAAAATTTCTTTTAAAGAAAGTTGGTTGCCATAATTAATCTGCTGATTATATGAACGCTATGTTACCTTGACAACAAGCGTTATTAGAAAATGGATCCAGTCCGTGTTATGGCAAAAGAGGAAGAGGCAATGAAATATTTAGAACAGCATCGTATTATGGATTTATTTCAATATCTAATGAGTCAGTTGACTTTTTACAAACCCGGTAAGAAAACTAAACATACGTCAATCGAAATGATGTTGAGCATCGCGCGTTTCGATTCACTCCTTAAACTCTACGTACGGGCTTACCGTACCTGTACCGACATTGATGCTCGATATCGGTACTGGATTATTTACAAAACCGAAACACCAAAGATTCCGATGTACCGTTAATTTACCGATTATTGTTATTGTATACCGGTAAATTACCGATGTGCCGTTTAAACAACCTATTTGTTGATAAATTATTCATATATATATTGATTTAAATTAATTTATAATAGAATTAATATATGGCGATCTGCCTATGAATTATTTACTTTGTATATTTATTTTCAAAATATTTCACAATAACATAAATTTGTAATAAAGACAACTTTGTTTGTTAAACAATGTCTAACCTTGTTTACAAAATATATCCATGTAGGCCTTTTTTAATCATGTTTTATAAAAATATTTGTTTGTAATAGATTTATGGACAGTGATGTGTTTGACTCAAGCTCATATTTTTTAGTGATTATCAGTAAATGGAGAATTTGCCTAAATATGATGATATTTTAAAATCACAACTCTTATGGGTGTTTGTAAATTCTGATACGCATGAACTTACCGATGCCGATGCTTCGGTAAACACAGATGTATCAATATTGGCATCGGTTTTATTTCTTTAAGTAGCGATATCAATGCATCGGTACTGAATTTTTAAGCTATCGATCGACACTAGTTTCTGAGCTGGTCCTATCTAAAATTAGTAAAATTAATTATTGTAACTCTATTTTCGGCTTCTTGATTCTACTTTATAATCCTATACCATCTTGGTTGTTCAATATATATATATATATATATATATATATATATATATATATATATATGATTTGTCATTATATTATATGTATATATATATATATATATATATATATATATATGTGTGTGTGTGTATGTGTGTGTGTGAATATAAATTATATTTGTATTTTTGTATTGAGAGGCTCAGGCTCACACTCTTTCATAAACTCTAAATTGTAATTCATTCAAAGATCACCCCAAAGAATTTATTATTGATAAAGTTAAACAACTGAATGAATTAAAGAATGGAAAAAATCAAGAGAGCTACATTGGTTTTCTGGATCATGATAATGTGGCAGCAATAAGCAGAGCATTGGACACGATGCAAACCGGGGTTATCAAAAAAGAACAATATGAAAAAAGTATAATTGATTTTCACAATTTTTTTTCCATATGAAGTGCGATGACGCACTTTCGAAATCATTTTTAAGAAGTCTGCTCAAATGTTTTAAAGATTAATGGAGTAATGTTATTGTTAATCTAAGCTTGGACTGATATTAATAAAAATGTAAATTATTAAAAGTCGAAAGTGGCTGTAAAACGTATAATTGACATTTCTCATAAATGAATATTTTTTAGCCTAATTACAATCTGGATAAGAATTATTTAAAACTGAGTTTAGATTTAAGCAAAAATGTATTCAATTGGTAGCATTACTAACGGTGGCGGATCTAGACAAACTTTGACGGGGTGGGCAAGATCTGTGGCAGTGTCGACAAAATTAGGATGGCGGCTTTTTTATATATAAAATGGTGCTTTTTCTGTGCGAAAACTAAATTTTACTGTCTTTTAATACAAATACTGCTCCCCTAGATCCGCCACTGATTACAAAACAAGTCACAAAAGTGATACCAATTGAAGTTCACCTTCGATTTCAAACCGAATCATTAAAACTATTCCATAGTTATCTGTGTTTACATTAATTTTTATTCACAACTATTTTTTAATCTTGCCATAACTGCAGCATTAGATATATTGGGTCTCAAAACATTTTTCTGCAAGGATTTTGAGAATATGGAAAGTATTGCAACTGATGTGTTCATAAAAGAATTGTAAGTCATTTAATATTTGTATTTTATGTTGATAGTACTATATTTTTAAAAATATTGTAACATTCTGCACAAGATAAAAATTTTTCAACAGCCGTTACACCATTGCGCGGCCCAAAACAAAAATGATATTTGTAATTATTACAATAATTTGGTATATTTGGAGTGCATTGACAAACACGTTACATTCAATGTAAAATTTTGCTGTTAAACTTTAACTTTCGCATAATTTAGCGGCTTGAAACACTTTTGGTTTGAATTAATACACTAAGTTTAACGAATATTTATAAAAATCATTATTCAGGGAGAAAGGCATACGAAAATACGAATTAAGCTTGGTTGCACAGACCTAAATGCATCATCAAAGGTATATAAAAACAACTTTAACCACGATTTAATAACTGAAAAGACTGTAAATCATAACGATAGTTAAACTATGTACAACAACAATAACAATGATAAAATAATTAATTGTCATACACGAGTTATCGATTGCAAGGATTTTTTAAATAGAAATTATGTATAATTTTTAATAAAAAGTTTTTCATATTTCGAGTTCTTTACAAGCAATATGAAAGATATGACACTTTTCACAAACTTGAATCTGAAAAAATGTTGCTAATTTAGCAAATTTAAGCCAATTTAAAAATAAAATGTAACATACTTCCCACACTGCAGCACATTTAAAAGTGACCAATCGTGTGGCACGGCGTGTAATTTGACACTGGATTCATCATTAAGGTCCCTTTCTTCGAAATATACCTAGCAACAAAATAAACCCAAATAAATGCAACAAAAATAACTAATTATAGTTGAAAAAAATGTCAACTTGTAGCTTGCTAGGAAGATATAACTTTTGTTCATCCCAACTTGGTGGGTCGCAACATGGTCCAAACATGGCTTCCAGGTGCTCTTCAAACCTTTAAGCCATTTTTACTCATTAATTTATCAATGCAAAAACTCAAACAACTTATTAAAAAATGTTACACAGAACGATAAAATGATAATTAAATGTAAGTTACTTGGAGTGTTCATGGAAAGACATGATGAAATCAGACTGGTTATATTCGGGGTAGAGAAACATAACAGGGAAAAGAAGTTCAACTTCATGCGATATGCCCGCACACGTGCTATTTTCATCCTTTTCTACCATTTCGATGCATGATCCATTGTGTGACTGTTTAATTACATCCAGCCAGTCATCATCATTCTTTGTTTCTACAAGAATCGATTTATCTTTCCTTGATTCTTTGTATAAAATAATACCTTTTCGCTGAAAGTATTGTATATTTTTACGTTGTATTGCAGACCTACAATCTAATAATTATATAAAAATATCGAAACTATCAATATCTAAATACCTGGAGGGTTCTTATAATTTTCAATTGTTTGCTTTTCAGCTGAGCATCAACTTTATTTTGTTTTCTTTTGTTTCTTTCTAACTCTTTCTTCAATAAAAAAATATGATGCATCATATTCAAGACAGCAGCAGTCTATAGTGTCTATAAAAAAATTAAAACCAACAATTTTCTGTTCAGATTTCAGTTTGCAAGCTTGTACTTTTGCCTCAGTAGGAAACAACTTGTGAAAGAAACAAGGAAAAAAAACTTGATGAGTTAAACTAGAAAATAGATAGGAAAATATAATTCAACCATGAGTGCCTTGCCTGACCAATCCACAACCTCTTTGTACTTTTCTAACTTCATCAAACAGTCAACAGCTAGAACAATCAAGAATGTTGTAAAATGTTGTCATGAAAAAATTTGATAAAATAAAGAAAAAAACCTCTGATCCAAGCTTTTTTGTGATCGTTGGTAATTTTTAGTGCAGACATACAGTCATTTAAAGAAGATCTATAGTTGCCTGAGATTTTCATGGAAAATTTATTTTAAGAGAAATGTTCTTTTACGAACACAATAATTCAAAATACCAATGTGAAAGTTAGCAGCAGCCCTGTTGGTGTACAAGACAGTGATCAGCTTGCTGTCCGTTGGATGACAGTTAAGACCAGCTGTGTAGTTGTCTATAGCCCATCTATACTTTTTACGTTCAAAATTTTTATTGCCATCATCTTTGTAACTCGTGGCGTTATCTATTGTATTTCATTTTAAATTGGTTTAATTAAAAAATTAAAATATAGTAATAATAAAAATAATATGCTACTGGTTGATATTATGCCTAATAATTAGGTCTGCGAGTTAGCTCATTCGAAAGAGGTGCCATGTCTCGTGCAGTTACGCGATGGCCTGGTTCGAATACTGTCGGTCCAAAACTCGAAAACTATCATACACCATGCGCTTATGATGCGGTGCTTGCATAAATAACGTGGATGTACGTCGTGTGGTGTGGATGGGACGGTATTTGTGGCACGAAGGTTTAAATACAGGGATGATCTGTTCTGATCGGTTCTGCGTATGTCAGAGCTGCATAAAAAAAAAAACAAAAAAATATTGACACAATATAATATATAATACAGCAAAATTTTAATAGAACAAAATTTCACAAAAATATAGTTTATGAACTGCATGAACCTTTTGACTCGGTGAAAAAAATTTATTCTATATATATGCTATCAGTCAATCTTATAACTTGCTACTGCACTCTTTTAGAAAGATAATTGAAAAAAATGGTCTAGTTTGAAAAGATATTTGCAATATGAAGAATTAATATTTTCATTTTTCGAAAATTTTGGAGTTTCAATTTGGGTGTTGCACCAAAAAGATAATGGACGATGAACAATGCATTGATTGCTAAGATAGCTAAAAATTTAATTATGCAGTCCAAGATTGATTGCATTAAAGATGAGCTTCACTCTAAGAGTGGTCCTCGTGATCTCTGGCGATCGCTCAACAACCTCCTTCTTTCTCATCCGCCACAACACTATTCTGACGATGAGTGCCAAACATTTGTCAACTCTTTCGCAAATCATTTCATATCAAAAATTAATACATACATCAGTCAATCAAAGACAATATTGAAACAAACACAGACCACATTCAACAAATATATTCAACGCCATTCCTTCTGTTTAAATTCCAGAGGTATTAAAACTCATCTCTCCCCTTGCTAATAAGACATCTCCATTTGACGTTTTGCCTACTGTTATTCTCAAAAAATTTTCTTCACTCTTTGCTCCTGTGATCTCAAAACTTGCTAATCTTTCTTTTAGCTAAAGTGTTTCTCCTACTACTTTCAAAACTGCCAAAGTACTTCCGCTCTTAAAAAAAATCTAATCTTGATCCATCGGACCCATCAAACTTGTCTACCTTTTCTAAAATTCTCGAACGTTTGGCTTTAAACAGAATCCTTACACAGGTCACCTCTCCTTTAAATTTCCGCCTATCGTACTGGTTCCTCGACCGAAAATGTACTTCTCCATTAACATGATAATCTCACTAACATTTGTGGTAACCGGGGCTGTGCTGCTATAATATGCCTGGACGTATCTGCGGCATTTACACGATTAACCATCCTAGAAAGACTAAAAATGGAGTTTGGCATCGCCGACACAGCTTTGTCCTGGTTCAATTCTTATCTTTAAAACCGCCTCCAATTTATTAAACTTGGCACAAGTCTCTTCTGTTTTTTGTTTAGCTACTGGAGTTCCTCAGGGCTCTGTATTAGGACCAATGCTTTTTACTATTTATACCAGTCTCTTATCTGACATACTTAACAAATAAGGTTCACCCTCCCATTAATATGCTGATGACCCAAAGAATAGTATCTGAAATCTTTCACAAAAATATCTCTTCTCAACTAAATAGACTTAACTCTCGTGTCTCATCAATAAAGAACTGGCATTCACTCAATTTTCAACTAATGCCCAAAAATCTAAAATAATGTTTTTTGGCAAATTACAACAACTCACAAAATGTTCTCCACCTCCCAACATGTTAATTGCTAGATCAACCTAGGTGAAGAGTAACCTAGGTGTTACTCTTCTGCTATCATCAAAATATGCAATTACATCATATGGTCTATTCGCCACATTCGACCTTTTCTCACAGTTGAAATGGCCTCTACAGTAGCACACTGCCTTGTATTATCTCGCCTTGACTACTGCAACTCTCTGTTATATGAAACTCTGGTGGATCTAATTTCCTCTCTTCAGATCATTCGAAACAGACAGGGCAAACTTGTTTTAAAATGACCTCATTTGTCTTCGAGTTCACCATCTCTTGCTCAACCACACTGGCTGCAAATTCATCAATGCATCAAATATAAAATTGCTGTCATCACATATAATAGCTCTCGCCAATAAAGGCTTTTCATATTGCTCACCATCAATATGGAACAGTTTGCCACTCATCATCTGTCAACAATCATCAATAGAAATGTTTAAGAAGCGACTGCATCTGTTTCAATAGGCCTTTGATGGCCGTGCTGACATTTGTTTATCCAGGCACCTCTGACACTATGCATAGGGCATTGCACAAATGACATTATTATTATTAATGCAAATTGACTTAAAAAGGTATATAAAAAAACAAGTATCAATTTGGTAATTAGAAATAGCCTGTATGAAAAAAATTACCAAACATAATTTATGCATAATATTAAAAATCTTAAGAACCGTCACAAGATTGGGATTCATATTTGAGAACTTGCAAAGCTTCCATTGCAGGTGACATAGGTTTACTCTCATCAAATTCTGTCATAAAAGCTGGGTGTTGTTTCATTTCCTGATAGGTAAAAATATATTTTCCAAATAAAATTGACATAAACAGTTCGTTTACCTTTCTACACTTTGTGATAAGATAAAAAAATACAGAAGTTGTCAATGTTGTTGATATAATAGGATATAAGCAAACATCTATATAGTTTATAAAATATATATATATATACATGCACAGGTAAGTACATAAATGTATAGGTATAAGTTAGTAGTTATAGTAATATAGGACTTTGTAGTTAAAAAAGATATGTGACTTTTAAACAGCTTGTGTTACTGTGCATTTCACATAAACTTCCAAATAAGCTACCTATGTTAATACTCTGCTTATTCTACTTCTTCCATTTTTTTTAAACTAATTGCGCTAAATTAATGTGTTGATATGCGTGTTGTGTTGTATCTTTTGAAAATGAGCCATGTGTGTGTATCTTGCATGCATAGATTTATTTTATTAGGTAAATTCTATTAGACATTATTTTTTGAATATGTCTGATAGAATATTTGTGATTACTATTAAGTTAATCAATACAATACAAATCTAATCTAATAATTAAATTAATAATTTAGTAATTAATAGTCAATTTATTCAATGGTCGTCAACTCATCAATCATCAACTCCAACAATGGTAATGCCTTACCTACCATTACATCACATTGATCATTGATTATGGATTACATTATTTTTATTGTGGTTACCCGTTGTTGTTACTATGTTATGACTATATATGAAATAATGGTCTGATTTATCTTTATGATCTATCATTTAGTAGTTTAATTTTAATTATAAATAAAATAATGTGCAAAATTATCATGATATAAAAAACAATTTTTTGCTAGGGTATGAATCTAACACCCAGGGAGGGTCTCCGATTTGTATATTTTTTGCTGATTTTTTTAAATATTGAATAATATAATTTTATTTTATAATAATATAATTCTAAAATTCTAATCTACTAATAATATAATAATAATTCTACCTCAGCAATCTCGTCCACTGACTTGTTATCAAAGTTAAAACTTCTTGGACTGTTTTTAGATTCTAAAATTTTTTGCGCAATAAAACTTTCTAAATCATCTTCTAATTGTTTTGCCAAATTTTCCATTTTTCCGATGAGCTGAAAAAAATTAGGTACAGAAAAAAAAAATCTGAATCAGCCGGCAACGCTTGTTTTGTCCCGTATTATCGTGAACTGTGGTTAATAAACAAAAGATAAAAGTAACAAATTTATGAAACATGGAATAGTGAAAAACCTACCCAACGCTTAGATGGAGAGAATGCATATGCATGTACAAATTTGTTTTATCGAGTTTGAAATTTTTCGCAAACGATTGAAATTTTATAGATAACTATTAATTCAAGTTATCTCAAAAACTTCCGTAGAATAGTCATTTACCTACTTAGATTAGCAAGATCATGCAGTGTAGCCTATTTTGCTAACAAGGCTGATTTATTACTTACTTTGCTAGCATTATTTCTATGGTAAATGGTTGATACCAATGACATGATACCATTGACATGATACCATTGACATGATACCATATTGACATGATACCAATGACATGAAACCTATGACCTGAAACCAATGACAAGATACCAATGACATTTCATTTGGTTGGTTGAGAAAGGCAATTATAAAAAACAAATAAATTTAAAAGTCTCAAAGTAAAGTTAGCATCTTCTGCATTTTAAAACAATTGCAGTTATTTATTTAAAACGTCTTTAAATACTATTAATTAATTTAAGGCAAACCAAACTGTTTTCTTAAACCAGTATTTCATCTTCTGTAATTTTTTCCATTGTTAGCCATTATCAATGTCTTTTTTAACTGCAAGTAGCACAGTAAAATGCTGATACCACAATTAGAGAGGTTATAAGAGAGAAGTTTATTTAAAAAAACGTTTGCTATGATTTAGTGGTTTTATTTCTTAGAGGTTAACAATGTAAATATTACGGGTTTACGAATAATAATACAACTCATCCAAGAAATTTTACATTTCCATGATATTTTACAACATATCCAAAATATTTTATTACCACATTTTCAAAATATTTTACATTTTCAAAATATTTTACAACATTTATAATTAAACATGTTTTATCTGTCTTATTAGAAATATAACACATTGTGTTGGGAATATATGCATTTTTTCTCATTCAAACCCTTCTCTACGCCACGCCTTATCCAAGAAATCTTTCATGTGATTGTAAGAGTTTCTGCAATTATCAGGTGTGATTGCCTGGCTACATTCCAAAACACTGTTCATAAGCTCAGTTTGCATATAGATATGTTGTAAAATATTTTGGAAACTTTGTTTAAACGTCCTATTTAAACTTTAACTCCTTGCTACCTGTATCTCAATCTAGTTTCAGACCTGCTCACAGTACTGAAACTTCTTTACTCAAAATACACAATGATATCCTTCTCTCTAGTGACAATAGTAATCTTACTCTTCTTCTTGCTCTTGACTTTTCCTCGGCTTTTGATACTGTTGACCATACTATTCTCTTGAGACTGCTGCATCTTTCTTTTAATATTACTGATTCTTGTCTATCTTGGTTTTCTTCTTATCTCTGTAATCGTTTTTCTTCTGTTGCTCTCAATAATTCTACTTCTAAATCCTCTACACTTACTTTCGGGGTACATCAGGGTTCTATCCTTGGTCCTCTTCTATTTATACTCTATACTTCTGAACTACCTCGTATTACTAATAACTTTTCTTTCTCTTGTCAACTATATGCAGATGATTCTTACATTTATACTTCTTTTCCTCCATCTAATCTCAATAGTGTTTTTCATAATTTATCTCTATGTCTTTCTTCAATTATCGCTTGGTCTGACTCTATGTGTCTTAAACTTAATCCTTCTAAGTTTGAATTAATTTGTTTTAATAAATCTAAACACTCTATTACTATTCCTCCTATTATCTTACCTGATTCTAAAACTCTTGATGTCTCTCATAAGTTTCGTAGTCTAGGTTTTATCTTTGATTCTACTGTGTCTCTCTCTTCTCAGATTAATAGTGTTGCTAGAAGCTCTTACTTTCATCTACGTAGAATAAAAAAACTTTTGCCTTTTCTTGATGATCCTACTCTTCTCCTTCTTCTTACTTCGTTAGTCTTATCTAGGATTGATTATTGTAACTCACTCTACTATGGTCTTCCTGACTCTAAACTCTATCCTTTAAGTAAAGCTTTTAACTCTGCTGCTCGTCTAGTTGCTCTTGCCCCTTTCTTTTCTCATATATCTCCATATCTTGTTCTCTTGAACTGGCTACCTATAAAATATAGAATATTTTTTAAAATTTGCACGTTCATGTATAAGTCTCAATCTAAATTATTTCCTAAGTATTTATCAGATATATTAATTGAACCTAAACGCCCCGGTCTACGATCGTCTTCTTCTTCTCGCTTTTTCTTAACTCGTGTTAAACACTCTTTTGCCAAATCTGCTTTTGCTTTTTCTTGTCCTTTTCTCTGGAACTCTCTACCTACTTCTCTGACTACTTCTCCATCACTTGCAAAGTTCAGAGCGGATCTCAAGACCCATCTGTTTTCAAAATTCATTGAAGAGCGCTGTTGAACATCGCGGAAATAGCGCTTTATAAACTAATTGATTGATTGATGGATTGATTGATTGATTGATTGATTGATATCATTGAATTATATACAACGTTTCCAAAATATATATTATATATATATATATATATATATTATATAATTCCATGCGTTGTATAATATTGTGGAAAAGTTGCATAATATTCTGGAAATGTTGTAAAATTTCTTGGATAATAGCATTATTTCTCGTAAAGCCTGATTTCCCTCGCTGCTTGTCTGCAAGCCGTGGTGACAGTGGCGTCACTAGGGTTGGTGTCACCCGGTGCGGTAACTCATGGTGTCACCCCTCTCATGACACCCCATAGACATACAGCATTTTTAGCAAAATTTATAAACACGAACAAGTTAAATGTGCTCGGCCGAGGCGCTTAATAATTCGGACGTCGAATTTGAATGGTATAAACGTCGAATACAAAAATGATTTGAACGAAAAAAAATTTTATTCATAATACATTTCTGGGCGCTGGGCAGGTTAGGCTGAATTAATGATAAGAATAATTTCATGGAGGGACATAAAAACATATACAGTGATATTTTGGTGTCACCCCCTGTAAGGGTGTCACCCGGTGCGGTCCGCACCCCCGCACCCCCCTAGTGACGCCACTGCGTGGTGAGGTATAATAAATAAAAAGACGAGTGAATCTGTGGCGACGACCATCACGACGACTTTCAATGCAAATAAAAGGCAGAAATACCAAGAAGTAGCTCCGCTTTTGCACAACTGTTCCTTAAAAATTTTAAAAACCCACAAAAAAGACTACTTGAACGTTTTTAATAATGCCATAACAACAACAAGCACGTTTTTAAAATAAAATATTTTGATGAATTTCAATGATTCACATATACCTTTAAAATTATTTTGCGTTCAGTAGAATTGCAAAATTAACATAACCTAGTGAATATAGTCGTATCATACTTGTGCAAAAATTTTTAAGACAAAAAAAAGAAAATGCGACATATTAAAATGTAAAATCTTTTTTAATTAAATCGTTTTCTGTGAGTTTTCAAAACATCAAAATTATTACAGAGAAAACTTAGTCTTGACGTATTTCTGTGTTCATGCATAAGTGATTCTGAAATGTAATTAGAATATTTAAAAATAAAACAAATATACACTGTTATAAAATGTTGAAAATAAAATGTTGTCATTTACCTCGTTAACTGAAAGAAAATTTTCAAACTTCGCGACTAATGTTCTAAATGATGGTCGAAGTCTAGGGTCGTCATTCCAACAAGACGATATCACATCAAACCTGTTAAAAATTAAATAAATAGGTATGTTTTGGTTGAAACATTTAAAAAAATCAAATGTTAATGGTTATTTTATATAAAAAATTGGATTCCATTTGTAAGCAAATTTACAAAAATTGGAATTTGTATTAATCAATAAATGAATTAATGCATTTGGTTTCACGATTGATCGCCCGCGGATACGTTCGCTCTAAATACCGCTGCCCTTATTAGGAAAGTTGACCAGGTCCTCGGCAAATTACCGCTGCATATGAAAAATTACTAGATCCTCGGTAAATAAACACCGCCACCTATTTTTTTAGTTCATGGGCGGTAAATACCGCATGTTCTTGAAAACGCATGTTCTTGAACTAAGTCACTGCAGCAGCAAAGCCAGGCGTTTTTAACCATTGAGCCATCACGCCGCCCAAAACCATTAAGCCATTTGGTAGAAAAATTGACTTACCTCGTCAGAAGAATGTTGCCCGTTTAAGTTACTTATGAAACTGTTATATATAATAGGCAATAAAGAAAAGAGACAAAGACAGATTAGAAGAATTTGAGATAAAGTGTTACCGAAATTTGTTGGGAATCAGTTGGAGGCAGAAAGTAAAGAACGGAACCATCAGAAATCAACTTGGAAGACAGAAAAGCGTATATGACAAAGTCAGAGAAAGAAAATTGGAATTTTTTGGACACATTTGTAGAATGAGGAAAAACAAAATAATTAAAACGGTACTAATGAGGAAAAGAGATTGGAAGAAAAAAGTTGGTAGACCTGCAAAGATAGAAAAGGTTTTTAGGACGAAAAAAAAGAAATGTAAAAAGCATGCTCAGATGTACACCGTCGATCTCGAAGGTCCCTTGATGGACAAAGGAGGATCATTGATGATGATGTTTTATATATATACATGTTTTTCAAAACAAATTAGTGAAAATGCCCCCGTCAAAGTTGTCTAGATCCGCCACTGGTCGATAATTATTACCACTGCGTAGGTAGGGTATAAACTACTAGGGGCGTGGTAAACGCCGCGGCTTCTGTTGCGAAACATCGAATTTTTGTCAAGTTGTCTAATGTGTTTTATTTAATTTATTTACAACCATTCATTATTTGTGTAATGCTCTTAATAAACGGGAGTGCATTGGAGACATCTATTTGGAGATTGTCGTAACTTACAAAACCATAAAACTTCTAATTAACGATCTCGGAACCTCAGGTTTGATGTGAGAAAGAAGTTTTGTCAGGGGTGATAGGATTTTAATGAGTTAATCGATGTTAATAAATTTAGTAAAGTGCTTAAATTTATCTTCAAAATGTAAGAACCATATCGGTTATCGAAGTCGTGAAAATTAAATGCTTACAAACGTACAATTCGTCTGAACAGGACAAGGGTTTTTTCATTCTGTATCCTTCCTTCAGCAAGTCCATCAATTTTTCACATGATATGCCAGGGTACGGGTTAGAACCTGTGATATATATATATATATATATATATATATATATATATATATATATATATATATATATATATATATACACACACACACACATATATTATATTTTTCAAAATCACAGCATGTTCCGAGTTAGTTAGCTTCCTATTTAATTTACCGATTTTTCTAACGGTATCGATTTGAACACCGAAGATGGTATAGATGGTATAGATTGTATACCGATAAAAGCTTTTTTGTTCAATAATGCTTAAAATAAAAAAATTTTGGTTTTGAACTCAAGAAACCTGACAATGACTTACAATATATAAATAAATATAAAATTTTTTGCTGTAGTAAAAATAAAAGAAAAATTGCAATAATACCAAATATTAGAAAAGATTGGACAAAATATATGTTTTCCTCAATTCTGAACTATTTAGTAGAAATGCTGAATGGCCGAATTCATCAATTGGCCGAAGCCGAATACCAAAACTTAAAAAAGAATTTATATCCATCCAACAATTCTTTATCGAGATAATATTCAATCTCTTGTTCAAATTTAGACGTTTTAACAGCTATGACGGCAAGAATAAATTTTCTTGCTAATATTATTCAAAAATTATTGTTCTAGAATCCAAAGAATGATGGTTTTAACGGAAGTTGCACCATTCGATTATTTGTTCTTACAAATGGCCGAAGCCGAATGTCAAAATTTGGCCAAATGTTCGACCAGGTTGAACCTTCGGTGCGTCTTTGGTATTTAGGGAAAAAAGTAGCAAACCCTTCAAACTCGGCACTAATGTTCTACCTTTTCCACAAACAAAATTGCCAAAAAACTGATGTTTTTACAATTAAATATTTTTGTTACCATAATGATTCAATTAAAATATAAAAAAAATTTATGTTATTTGACCCACCCATTGTTATTATTTCCCAGAGTACGATTCCATAGGACCACCTATGCAAAAATAAGATTTTTTCAACAAATTACAATTTTTGAACGTTTTTAATTATAATTTAATTTAGAGATTAATGAATACAAAAAGCCTTATAGACTTAATTTATTCTAAACATTTCTTAATGTGCAAAGCATGTGGGAAAATGTTCTTTCAAATTTGTTGAGCTCAGACGGCAAGTGACATGCCTCGCGCTGTTCTTTCGCGATGGCCTAGTTCGAATGCTGTCTATCTGAAACTCAAAATATTATCGTACGCCATGCATGTGTGATGCGGTGCTAACAGAATTTGTATGTACGTTGTGTGGCGTGAATGGTAGAGCTTTCGTGGCACTAAAGTCTACCAGGGTATGGAATTATATGCAAGCAGTACCGAGTATGTCAGAGCTGCATAATAAAAAACCAAACAATCAGGCCACTACTAAATTTTCAAACAGTACGCACCATACTAAAATGCGTGCTAAGTATACAGTGTACGTGGTTAAACGGTGGATTTAAATATCAAATTTATCCACTAAGCTATAACATGATATCAACTTGTAAAGTAACTCTACATTTAACAAAACAAGAATGAAGGAAGAGGTGGGAGACTAACACATCACTCATTGTGGTGTACGTACGGCTGTACAATGACTCAGGGGCCATCCATCGAACGGGAAGGGGTCCCTTAATGTTGTTATACACGTTTGAATACTTGTGAAATTAATGAGAATTAATTATTTTTGACAATAAAACAAACAACCTTGCTAGTTTTGAAGTAGGCATCTCCCTCATAAACATCTCTACTCAGTCCAAAATCTGAAATTTTGGCAATTCTATTTTCCCCAACCAAAATATTTCTAGCAGCTAAATCTCTGTGGACAATATGCATTGAGTTTAAATACTGCATGCCACTTGCAATGTGAAGACAAAATTTCAATAAATCGCTTTCATTTATAAATTCCATGTTTTCCATTGATTCTTCTTCTACCAGACTGTCATGCAACAATTTGTTTTCAAACTCGTCTTCATCATCGTCCGAAAAAATGGGTTTAAAATTTGAACAAGGTGGGGTTGTGTGGATGATCAAGTCTGATTTTTCACTGTCAGTTGACATGGTTTTTTTCAAATATTTTCTTCTACTTTTCCCAGGTAAGAATTGCGTGACCTCTTCATTCAACCTTCTGTACCATCTTCCGTGTCCCGTTGAATTGTCCGGATTGTTGTCATCATCACTTGACTTGGAATAGCGCCAATTAACTCGAAATTTTCTTAGATAAGAGCCAAGTGAACCATATTTACAAAATTCGACGATAATATATAACGGAGCTAAAAAAAATGTATATAAAAAGTTTTAGAAATTGTTAGCTAGATTGACAACAGTTAATATAAATATATATAATACTTATAACATTTTTAAACATTCCAAATGTCTGAAAAAACTTTGTTATTAAAATAAGTTGCTATATCTTTAACTTACTTATGAAACTGTTATATATACATGTAACATAAGAAAATGTTATTTACGTATGAAGAATTGTTATATATAAAGAATTTGCCATAATAGCTCACCAGTGGGGCTCCTACACACGCCGATCAACCTGATGACGTTTTCGTGGTTGACTTGCTGCAACAAATTGAACTCAGACAGCAGGTCTCGGTACTCGCCTGCACTTGTGCAATCTGCAAACAAATCTCACTTACTCAGCATGCACACGAAACGTTTCATATTCGATTTTTTTTATACAAAATTTTTAAGAATCTTTGAATCGTTAGAGATATTTCAATTTTTTGACTGTTGAAAATTAACTTTTTTAATATTTGAATTTTTAAATCTAACAGTTCTGGTTTCTTTATGGTGTAAATTTAATTATAAAAAGAAATTTTGTTTATTACAATTGAACATTAGCATTAATTTTTGCAACATTCACATTTATGTTATCATTGTATACGATACGAAATCTTAAAAACTAATTAAATCATAAAAACACGAAGGTTCAGTTTTTTTGATCATATTACAGCCAGCCTCCACCGATTCAAGTTATGTTATAACATTTTCTTACCTTTCAGCATTTTAACGGCCACATCGATAATTTCAGTGTGATTTTTTGAATGTTGAACTTTCAGTTTTGCCATAACCACTTTACCAAATTCACCTTCGCCCAATAAATATTCAAATTTCAAATCGTCTTTGTTAACTTCCCATTTCATTAGCTGATGCTTGAAAATAAATTTAATGTCAATTTAATTATTTTTATGTAAACATTTATGAAATGAATCAATAATACCATTATAAAAATGTTAATAAGTATGAAAATAATTGAAAAATAAATGGACTATGCACTTCAATATCTTCGGTGAAATATACTTGATCCCAAGGTAAACTGCTACCATAGCTGACGCAACTAAAAGCACGTCTGAAACATCGCTCTTTTTGTTCTATTTGTTGGAAGTTGTCTATCGATGACTGCCTGCTTTTGAACGCCAAATGTTGCTGCTGTTGTTGCTGCTGCTGTGGTTGAGAACGTTGGGATGGTCCTTGTTTGTGATTTTGTGGGTGCTGTTGTTGGCAGGACTCACCGGACAGATAATGTGGATTTTCTACTGTTGTTCCTATTGGTCTACTTATTTCAACTAGCGAAAACATTTCTTCCACCTTTGGTGTTTCGCACTTTTGGTGCTTCTTTGGTGATAGCACTTTATTTAACAAGGAGTATTTAATTTCCAATTTCCCATATTTGTTTAAAAAATAAATTACAACGAAGCTGAATAGGAAAACCAACAAGGTTGACAGTCCTACTATGAACCAAAATATAAATTTTTGGCACTTGGGCCCACAAAATAAATTTTTGTTTACATTTTCATCTGATTGAAATGATTTAATTTCTTCATATGAAATATTTTTTTCGGAATTATTTTTTTTGTGAACGTTGGCGCTGTTGTTTTTGTAGACGTTTTTTAAGTGGTCTCGTTGCAGCGAGCACTGACAACGATCGAAGACCTGGCACCAGCATGCCCGCAGCTGGATCACTTCAACAGGTCTGCTGCTCTGGCGATTTCTTTCATTTGCCACCAAAGTTATTTTGTCTGTGAAACAATTTAAATGTTAAATGTTATATTCATGTATGAAGCCAATCATTAAACCTTTCCAAAGGGTTAATAATGAATCTTAGCCTGTAAGCAGCTCTGTGTTTGACAGAGCTGCGTTATAATCAATATATTTTTTCCATAATATTCATAAAAAATGATTGCTGTTTCAAAAGTTACTTCAAAAATCATAGTGTTTCATCCAAAATTTGTAAACGTATTCATCATAACATCTCTTACCCAACAATGTAACAACCTACCAAAAACATCCAATCTCCCCATTGCAAAATTATTCAACGCGAATAAATTAATGACATTTGAAGCACCTGCGCAATCTTGCGGACACAAAGAAGGAACGAGACTCTCCAACTCATCACACCTCTGGTCTGGACACTCCCTGCCCGACCCTTCCGATGAGCAAGTCTCGTACTTCAACGTATCATTGCCAAGCGCATAATGGAAATTATCCAGCAGATTCTCGTTTTTGTCATTACTGTTGTTATTATTGATTTGATGTGATGCTACGGTAAAACGGTTATTTTTGAGCTTTACATAACTGAGCAGCAGTCGTTTCAAACTGGCATCCAATCGTCTGCCATGGTCCATGGCAGCACTTGTATCTTTGCTCTTGCTGTTGTTGCTGTCTTCGTCCTCGCTGTTGGCATCGTCGTCATCGTTGAATTTGAAAAAAGCCTTCTTCCACTGACACATTTTCGTTTTCGAAATGCTGTTGACTTCTGCGCATGTTTCACGGCTTCTCTGTTCGTGACATTTGCGCTCAACTGTTAAGTTAACATTCACGACATTTTGTTAATTGTTGATCTAATCAAATTATTCTTAGCAATAAGAAATTTAATGTCTATTTAATGCCCATTATAAAACAACGTTCAATAAAACAGCCAATTATGAGGAATAATTTATATTCTTGACAGTCTTGATAAACTATATAAATTCAAAAACCTTGTTGCTGATGACTTTCGAAGTGAGGATGACTTGAAGTGAAGTTGAGGAGGAGGACAGCAGCAACTTTGCTGTACAGCTGCTGGTTATGGCGTTTCTCAGAGACAGTTATTTGAAGTTGGACCTCATTGAATAGTGCAAGTAGAAAAATGTTTTTTGTAGCGTAAATTATTCCTTCGTACGGGGTTACGCTGAATAAACTATTGTTGGCAAAAACAAAACAAGAATTGTTGGACAGAGTTTGTTTAATTTCATCGCTGCTGTTATTGATGTTGCTAATGTTGTTGTAATTAACGTAATTCTTCTCAAAGTTCGCAAGTTTTGGTAGTAGTTGGTGCTGAGTTTGGGAGAGTACCGCAGAACATTTGTCATATCGAATGCTGAAATAATTGTTGCCATCAAGCCAATGGTCCATCTTATATACCTGCATTCAACCAGAAGAACATGCCGCAGTGTGTTACTGTGCACATGACAATTATTGAATGGATGATGCACTCTGAACACCACACGCACACAATTTCTGCTGTATGCGTGTGATGAAACTGCGACCACTTCTACGTTGGCGTGTAAAAGTGCGTGTGAGTGCTTAGTGCGTGGGTATGGGTGTAGGTTTGCTATTTAAGTACATGTGCGGCCCTTCAAAGGTAAAATAGATTTCAATGCGGCCCTCACAGCAAAAAGTTTGCCTACCCCTGCTATAGTGGTTTGGTATTTTAAAATTCAGAGAGTTCGTTTGTGTAGGTGTGTATGAGTAGATCTGATTTGAAACAATTGCATTTCAGAAATACTCATGTCATTAATTATTTATATTGTTATTTGGTTGGGAGTGGAATGAAGCTATCTAATGGAATAAATTATGTTAATGTCATCATGTGTTGCCTGCATCATTAACTTTAATCAAATTCGAAACTTTTCGTTGCATTTTCACCAACGGATCATTAAGCGCTGTTCTACTTTATTTAATATATATATATATATATATATATATATATATATATATATATATATATATATACACATATGTGTGTGTGTGTGTGTATTTAAGTGAAACATAATAGCATTATGAAGTGGTGGTAACCCTGAGGTAGGGCGAGATGTGGGAAGTGTCGAGATGCATCCTTTCAAGGACGGTGCGTCTACGCGGCTGCATGTGCCTCGTCAACGATAATGTAAAGTCGTACTTTATCTGGAACGAAGTCATCAAATCAAAAAATTAAAGAGTATAAAATAAATGCTTTAAAAAACGAAAAATAAGCAAATTAGCGAATATCTTTTTGATGAAAGGAATGAAAGAAAAGATAAAATTTAATTAAAAACTAACAATTGGTGAGTGCCGGTTGTCATCGTCGTCGTCGTCGTCCTCATTATAACGATGACGACCCCTAGCAACGGCACCATGGTGATGTAATGGTGTCGGTACGTAGGTCGTATCGTTGATTTCAATGACAATTCGTAATTCAGGCTGAGAACTGCTCGTCATGTTGAAGTCCTTTATAGCTACAACATCTGCGTCAGTTTATTACGTGGGTGAATATGGCGTGGGGATTATGATGAGCTTTTCAAACACAAATGATAAAGTGAAAAAAAAACAAAAAAGAAACGAATTAAAACACAAAAATAATACGAAATTTAATCACATAAACTCACAAAAGAACACGCACGCAACCTACCGACGCATCTCAACATTCCAAGCACAATCTCATCACTGATTTCAACTCCAATGACGTCACTCCTCCCTCCCAGACTCACGTGATAAGCATTTCTTTCTGAGGTCTTGTCGTCGACGAATGCAAGGCAGTTGTATAAGATCTGCTTCTGTGTTCATTGAGCGTTTAAACGCATAGAGGTTGGTTGTGGCAATGATTAAAATCTCTCATCACTTCATGAAATGACAAAAAATAGCGAAAATTAAAATAATAATAATAAAGTGACAGCAGTGCCCATCGTCAAGGTTAAGTGTCTTAAAGTTTACGTATTTAACAAAATGGTTAATTTTGGAAGAATTGTATAACGAAGCGAACTTGTTTGAATCTCCAGTCGTAAACCTTGTGTTTCACTTTCAAATAGTTTTTCAACTCGTCCTCATCATCGTCGTCATCGCTCAGTATTTTGGGCATCAGGTCGTTGACATTTCGAACCTGAACGACTCCCCGACAATGCTTCCTCAAAGAGGAATCTGAATTGGCATCAATGGAGGAGGTGTCCTCGGAGCCCTGCCCGTCTTCGGAGGAAGTTGCTGATGACGCAAACAGGCAGTGGTAGTCCATCACCACGTTTGAATCCTTCTCGTGGTTCAGAGGCGCAACTAAGGTCAGCAGGTTCTGTCGTATTTGAAAGTTTGACGAATAATCTTCGCTAGTGCTTTCTCCTGGTTAAAATTTGAACATATTTTAAATTTATACAATTTGACAAAACCTTTGAGATAACATTATTCTTTCTTAAAATCATATTAAACGGATTTTTAGTAACATTATTGCAGAAAAGCGTCATTGATATTATTTGTACAGCTTTGGTTTGGTGTTGAAAAATTAAAATTATCAAACTCGCTTTGAAAACATGGTATGGCATCATATTTATGAACAACACACCACACAACACATATGAGCAAACTACTCCAGCTCTACAAAAAAGCCAGAACTGAAAAACAAAAATTTCGAAAGCAACATAACAACTTATCGAACCGCTTGCGTTAAACGTGCATTCTATGATATCGGTCAGCCACTTGTTGCCATCAAGACTTGACGAGTTGCTCCTGTCGTTACTACCAGCACCCCCGAACCACGGATCATCGGTGCTGTCGTTCTCGTGCCCACCCCCACCCCAGCGAACGCCCATCAAGTCACTCCTGTCCACTGAGTCCAGACTCAAGGAATCTTCCTTGTGAATGGACAACCCCCCACAACACATCTCCCCCATTGTCACGCCCATCACATTCTCAGACACTGAAAACTGTTTCACTGTTGGGCAGAAGGAGAGCGGATGAGGAGGAGTCGGCGGCAACTGGCGGTCGTTAATTGGGAAGGGGTCGATGAAGATCGGTGGCTGTCGAGTGGCCAACAAATCGGGTGGATAGAAAATTGTTGATGTGACAAATGAGCCGTGCGTCCTGTACGTCTCACCGATGTTTTGGCAGGATATGTTCAACGTGAGCTTCAATATGCCTGGCGTGTGAGTTTTGTTAAATCAAAACTGTCATTAAAAATATTTAATCATGAGTATAATCATGATTATGTTGACAGATAATTATTATTCATTAATCTGCAAAGAGTCCAAGATAAACATGAGAACCTACTTTTGTTGAGTAACGACGCAATCACCTCTCTGTCCACCAATACCTCATAAATGGTGTCGCCAGGTGAAAGTGAGGAGGAAGAGGAATTTGTGTGGGTTTCATTTGAAGTCACTTTGGTGATGTGAAACTGCGATGTGTTCTGTCCGGTCAAAATGTTTAATTTGGTCAAGAAGATTTGGTTGAGATTGTGTTGTATCCTTATTTTTAATTTCTTCATTAAAAATATTCAAGTTATTTATTTTTACTGAAGTTCTAAAATTTATTTAAAATTTTTTAATCAAACATTTTTCAATTGAAAATTTCGTTTATGTTCAAGAGCTTTATTAAAAAAAGTTTATTTAATTTTTCACTCACGACCGCACCCGAAGCAATTCTCGGTTCTGTTATTTGTTAACTTACTAGCTATATATTTCGCTGATTTGAGCGTTAATTTTGTTCATTTAAATTGTACACAACAACCAAACTTTTTGATTAAAAGCATACGTGATGAAATGAAAAACAGAAATGCACATGTGATGAAAACTTCCTCATCAAACAAAATTAGTGTAATCGGAAATCAATAATGCTCTCAGTCGAAAGATTTGTGTCATTTGCAATATAAGTTACTTGTTTAAATAATAAAAATCATTAATGATGTGGTATTAAAAATAAATGATGCCTAAAATATAGCATTGCCAGCTTTCAAGTTAGTGCCACAATGCACAATAAAATTTTTCGGCTTTTCGTCGCTGGTAGTTTGGTTTATATTGGACTGGAAGTCTGTTTTGAAAATTTGTTTAATCCGAAATAACTTTGGCGTCCACGTTGAATCGTGGAGACTACCAAGACTATTAATAAAGACTATTTAAGCGTTGCGCCGTTTGAAAAAGCTTACATTAATACTGTGTATTTCATGATAATGATGAGCAAATTAAATTTAATTGACTATGTAGGCCTAAGTTCAAACATTAAAAAAATTTTAATCGTTTATTGAGGAAGTACATATATGTGACAAAATAAAACAACTTGTCATATCAAAAAGAGAAAAAACTCAGGAAACAGTAAAATTGTACATGTTGAAACTTCAAAACATTACAATTTGTACAAGCAAAATGATACAGATTATTCATAAACTGCAACGCTTTTTCACGTGGAAGAATGGATAGACAATCATTTTCACTTACCCAATCCGTTTTCATGGGCAGCCAGTGATTTTCCTCATTGTTCTCATCGTCATCCTCCAACCACGCAACGTCGTCATCATTCTTTTTCTCATCGTTGGAAGCAAGCCTTGCTTTGAATGTGTACGCATCAGCATTATCCACTCGGCAAGTTATGAACTCTTGAACTTCCGGTGGTACGTTCCATTGCGGTGGAGTGAGCTCCACCATGAGATGATAACTGACGATGGGAAAGAACTCGTTACTGTTGCTAGTGTTACCGCAAGCATCCTTTGAGTTGTTATTGTACGTAATATTCTGCTGGGTTATGATGAAGTCGTCTCTCAGACGAGTGTGACGTTGGGTAGCATCGTTGAAAATGTCGACAGTGGCTTGCCTTACTGCGGCTCTTGATGGTGATGGCAGCGATGTAAGGACAGTTAATTTGCCTGGTTCAGTCACGTACAGCTTGATGGCAAATTCTGATTTAAAATAGAATCAAGAAGAAAACAACTACCGCCAGAATTACAATTTTCGTTCTTGCCATACTTTTTTACCTAACTGCTTTGTTGCCATTACATTATATTAATGTTAATCTCATCACCTTCATCCAACGTTCCACTTTTTAATATTATCTACCGGTAATCAGTTTCGTTAAATCATTAAATAAATTAGAATCGTTAATAAATAAAAAATCTACCAACTAGAAGTTAAGTCCTCCAATAGAGCAGGCTTGCCAGGATATACAACAAATACAACTATTAACAAACTGATGAAACCATCTAAATTTGCAACAATCATCGTCATTTTATGTATTAGTCAGAAAAATTCACCAACAAAGTCCATTTAACAACGTTCGATTGGTGCATGTAGGTGTGAATAATGATATTAATTTGTATTTATTATGCCGATGAAACAAGAATAAAGTCAGTTAATAAAGACCTTCAAGAGGACTTTAATGAAACAGTTATATGTAAATGTTCTGCATGCATACTTCTACGAGCGAAACAGGATCGGCGGATCAAATCGATGTGACCTCTGATAGTTGCATGTTGTGATCTTTAGCTTCTTTATTTCTTTAGCGTCAATTTACAAACTGATTAGCAAGCTGATTAAAACCTGAGCTTATTTAACAACTTTTGTTGAAATGAAAAATTAACAAGCACATGTAACTAACCGCTATCCAAAAAGGAACTTTATTGAATAATAAAAATTAAAATATTAATTGAATCAGAATTCCAGATGTTGATCTGATACGATACTGTTTCGGAACATGAAAAATATTGAAAAGCAAAACGATATCTATGAATTAGCTGAGTAATTGATAATTTTCTTCCATCAAAACACTTGATTAAGTTACGTATACATTACCCAGATTTTAGATAGGTCCATTAAATAAGTAATGTGGCTATTTAAATTATCACAAGAAAAAATAAATTACGCAGTATTTATAAACAACTGCAGCGTAATAAACTTTCTTAAAAAGAAATTGTCAACAAAACCAGTTTTTTACATTTATTTTAATTGCATAAACTTGCACCAATTAAAGGCGGATGATAAACATTAAAAAATAAATAAGACAAAATAAAAGAAAATGATGCAGCGAACGACGAGTAAATATCACAAATATATGATCTAAAATCTGATGAGAATTTTCGCAATGCAGACGTTGATTAATATGCTTCAAATATTAAATTAATTTTCAAACATGCACAAGTGGTGATAAAAATTCAAAACACTTCGAGGCACCAACTTGCTCAAATACAAATTAAAAGGCAAACCTGTGTTAGTTATTTTCATAATTTTAAATATAATAAAACATCTGTAAATGATGAATTTGAACTGGAAAATGAGCTAATGAAAGTTAGACAGAATATGAATGTGGAATTGTGAATGGATGTCATCAAGCATAAAAATTCTATCATTATCCGATAATCAATCAATCAATCCTCGTTTATAGTCTCCATCCATTATGGGTCGGACTTTATCATTATCCGATAAGTTTTACAAAAACATATGCACAGACGGAAAACGTAATAATCGCAATAAATGCGCCAATCATACATTTTCTGAGGCGTATGTGAAAGAACATTTGAGGTTGAACCGCCCAGAGTGGATGTTTTAGTTAGAATAAAGATTAAATCTCAATATAAATTTTGATTTTCAACTGTTGCATCTGTCAAATTGGCTTGAAAAATACTCACTTTATTGTAAAAATTACTGGAAATTTTTACAAAAAATGAGAAATAAGGAAAAAATAAGCCATCGATTATTCTTTTGAAAAATCCAAGCTCCTTCAACAAACCTCTTTCAAACTGCGCCACTCTTCAACAAGCTTCCAACTACGCCATTCTCAACTTTAAATAAGAAACTAAAAATTCAACAGAAAATAAAAAATAATGCAACCAGAAAAGAAATATCCGTTTTTGGGCGGTTCACTTATTCAATCGTTTACGATTAGAAAAATTAGACATAAATGCAATCACACTTGATATAAATGCCACCTACATGCCATCTCTATCGAAATTGCTTCGTATCATAAACATTTTAATGAAACAAACAGTTCAAAAGACTGCATGCACAGTGATGACCAGGCACACAACACCCAAATGAACTATACACTATACAGCAAGAGGATCAAGGAAATGGTGATAAAATCGCATTATCAAACATGGAAACTTAATTTTGAATTAATATTTATTTATTTATTTATATATATAGATGCGTGTATATATTAATTAGTGCTTGTGTGTGAGCGTATATGTAGATAAACTGTTACATCAAGGAATATAAAACAAATGTAACTACATTTTCCTAATGTTCTTTTATGTATGCAAGAATGGAAATAACAATTTATGATATTTACAGATATACAAGATAATTAAAAGAAATTCTTTAAACCACCTTCAGTTGATACAATCAATTAAAATACTCTTTCAAAATTTTGATCAGTGGCAAAGAAAGGTTTTACATTTAATTTAGCATTTGGTTGCTGAGCAGGTTTGCCTCTGCGTGCCGCTGTGAACAATTCATACATGGAGGTTGTGTGTGGAACCAACATCTTCTCTAGACTTTCCGGCAAAGGATTCTCCCAGAAGAAATCATGATTCAAGGCATTGTCTGCATCAATTCTCTGCTTTGGATCCAATAAAAGCATTCTGTCCAGTAGATCAAGAGCATTGTGGTCAGTAATCGAGGGTTTCAATCTGTCTTTTAATCTTCTCTTTAAACCCTTCGGAAATTCAATTTTGTTGTAGAGTTCTAATTTTTCGACATCAGGCCATACCTCAGGTGTGATTGAGCCACAAATTTGAGATATAAGAGTGAGTTGTTGTTGTTCCGACCCACCTTGCAAGATTGGACTGCGAGTCCACAATTCAGCCATGATACAACCAGTACCCCACATGTCGACTGATGGTCCGTAGTTTCGTTCTCCAAGCAACAACTCGGGTGGTCTGTACCACAAAGTGACCACTTTGTTTGTGTACCTATTTTGTGAACTTTTTGAACTGCTGATTGCTCTTGCTAAGCCAAAATCAGCCAGTTTTAAAATTCCAGTTTTTGTTACGAGAATGTTGGCAGCTTTCAGGTCTCTATGCAGGACGAGGTTGCAGTGTATATAAAACAAACCATTTAAAATTTGGTTCATAACACACTTGATATGGCTCAATGAAAAGACAACATTTGGATTGGCAAGAAGACCTGCGAGATCGTGTTCACAAAACTCAAAGACCAGGTAGAAATGACATTTGTATCTGCTCTGGGTAGAGGCTTAGGTGGAAAATAAATAATAAATTATTATATTAGATGATTTTTAGGCATAGGTGGAAAATAAATAACAAATTAAAAAGTTATTTGTTACTGAATAACCTTTTGTCTTGGTAATTTCAATTAAATTGACAATATTTTCATGTTTTAGAAGCTTCAAATAACGTATTTCTCTCAAGGTTGTAATTGGAAACTGTTGAAAACAAATTTAAAAAAAATAAAAATATTTAATAATAATAAATAATAAGCATTTTTTAAAAATTATTTAAAAATCAAATCAATGAGAATCGCATAAAATCAAGAATATTATTTAATCAAGGCAATCTGATTGACAGAGTCAGCCTTTAAAATAGGAAGCTTGTTATGACTTTATGACAATGACTTTATTAGGAAAAATATTCCATTACTCCATCACATCGATTATACATAGATGTCTTTCAACTGTCCTACAATTTTCAACAATTTTAAGATTCAGAAAATGCACATACCCCTTCTTTTTCGTTTTCCATCAATACCTTCTTCAGGGCTACAATATTTCTCGTTATTTTGTGTCTGGCTTTGAACACTTCACTAATTGAAAAAAATTAATAAATTCAAAGAATTAATTCAGTTTCAGTTCCTTACAAATTTTAGTACTTTAAATTACAGAGTTTTTAAGTTCTTGAGTTTTTCAAGTTGAAATTTTTTTTAAAATGAATCAATATCACTTAATTAATAATTGTCACTATTTTTTAATAAAATAAATTAAAGTAAATTATTAAAAAATGAATCAATCAATCAATTAGTTATTAAAGTGCTATTTCCGCAATGTTCAACAGATGGGTTTTGAGATCTTCGTAATGGAGAAGTCATCAGAGAAGGAAGTGGAGAGTTCCATAGAAAAGAGCCAGAAAAAGCAAAAGCATATTTAGCAAAAGAGTGTTTAACATGAACAAGTTAAGAAGTGAGAACAAGAAGATGATCATAAACCGGCACGCTAAGGTTCAATTAATATATTTGATAAGCACTTAGGAAATAATTTAAATTTAGACATACATAAATGAGCAAATTTTAAAAATTATTTTATATTTTATAGGTAACCAGTGCAAGGGAACAAGATATGAAGATATGAGAAAAGAAAGGTGCATGAGCAACTAGACGAGCAGCTGAGTTAAAAGCTTAAAGGATAGAGTGTAGAATCAGGAAAACCATAGTTATTGTAGAGCAAGTTACAATAATAAATCCTAGATAAGACTAAGGAAGTAACAAGAAGGAGAAGAAAAGTATTGTAAGTAGATGAAAGTAAGAACTTCTGGCAACACTATTAATCTGAGAATGAAAAAAGAAATTAAAAAATATTAACCCAAAAGTCCCTTGTCCAATTTTTTTAAGCTTATCGTAATTCTCGATGGCATCGGGACAGAGAGGAAACTCGGTGTTCTCGTATTTTTCGGCCCAGAGGTTTCTCCTGATGGGTCCACCGGCCTCCCTGTTCTCATAATTGGTGCCAAGAACGGAAGTGTTGTTGTGATTCTTCACTACGGCGTTAGCGGCGTTCGTCTTTGCGATGTTTGAAGCCATCTCGTCAACTCCGGCCAAGAAGTTCGGAGAGAAAAATTAGCATTCCGCCAAGAAAAGTTGCCGAACACACAAGACTACCAGTTATTTATATTATACCACTTTTTGATTGTAAACAACAAAGACAAATAAATTGTAGAAAGCTTTGCTAAAAGTAATTTTAATTTATAATTTATTATAAATAAAATATTGAAGATTATAATTATATATAATATATGTATATAATATATATAATTAAATTTTATTATATATATTATATGTAAGCAAGGAACGGTGCATATATTTTGTATCTATATATCTATACAATTAAGTTCAATCGATTATTTGTTATCTCTGCTATATCTTTGTAGAACTATAGAGTCTTTCCATTGTAAAAAAAAAGATATCGAATCGGCGCGTGTTGTGCAAGCGGTACAGTTGTCGTGATTTGTGTTGTTGCGATGTGAATTAGCGTCGATCGTGCGTATTTCTTGGGTTAGGGAATGATATACTGTTTCTATTACTGATGGCATTCGAATAAACGCTTAAACAAGTTTGAAGCAGTTGTGTTCATTAGAAATCTTTAGCTTAACTTAGGAATATCGATAACTTGACGATAGGGCAAGTTAAATAAAACAATATCAAATATGCAGCTCCCTCCTGGTCTGGTTTTGCCACGCAACAACTTCAGTAGAATTTTCAGGATTTATTAACAACGTATCTATATTTCGTGTAAATTTTTAAAACATTTGATGCTCAGTTTTTGTTAAAACAACTTTAACGCCAATAACCATAAGAGATTTGGCTAAAATAAATTTAAAGTGTATTTAAAAAAACTGCGCTTCAGAGTTCATTCAAATTTCAGCTATATATTCATAAAACCGGCATTGCTGTAACTTTGAAAACCGATATGCCCTGGATAATTAGGAAAATTTTAATCAGTAAAAACCATTTTCCATGTTTTTTCACACTAAATCTTCGAAAATTTTTTACCAAAAAAACTACGTTTCAGAAATTAATGAAATTTGCACAAGTTAATAAGGATTTGTGATTAATAAGCCCTGACATTTTAACGGGCCATAGGTGATTAGTTAAATTTTTATTCACAAACAACCATTTTTATGGTTAATTACCATTAAAGTTGAAAAGTTGCTTCAACAAAAACTGAGTTTCAGATCTTTTTTAAATTTTCACCAAATAAACCCTGAAGATTTCAAAGGCCCTACAACATTATTACATCGCGAGTTATTTGAGTTTCGTTTTTTGACGTTTAAATTGAACTCTTTGGCTGTGAAATCCTTGGCTAACTTCACCCACCTACATACTTGATATTTAATAAATACATAATTAACTTCCAATTTAACTATATATATATATATATATATATATATATATATATATATATATATATATATATATATA